TTCGGTTTTAACATGTAATGAATGCACATATTTTCTGGGAGGCAACACAATATTCCCGGAGGTACTTCGGCACTACGAGACGACGAAATCTTCGGTTTTAACATGTGTTGAGTGCACATATTCTTGGAGAGGCAACACAATATTTCCAGAGGTACTTCGGCACTACCAGCCAAAATCACAATATTTCCGGGAGTACTTCGGCACTACGCTGACAAATTTGTTAATATCTATTGACTACACATAGTCTTTGGGAGGCAACACAATATTTCCGGAGAGATTTCGGCACAACCAGCCGACGAAATCTTCGGTTTTAACATGTAATGAATGCACATATTTTCTGGGAGGCAACACAATATTCCCGGAGGTACTTCGGCACTACGAGACGACGAAATCTTCGGTTTTAACATGTGTTGAGTGCACATATTCTTGGAGAGGCAACACAATATTTCCAGAGGTACTTCGGCACTACCAGCCAAAATCACAATATTTCCGGGAGTACTTCGGCACTACGCTGACAAATTTGTTAATATCTATTGAGTACACATAGTCTTTGGGAGGCAATACAATATTTCCGGAGGGATTTCGGCACAACCAGCCGACGAAATTTTCGGTTTTGACATGTGTTGAGTGCACATAGTCTCCAAGAGGCGACACAATATTTCCGGAGGTACTTCGGCACTACAAGCCGACAAAATCTTCGGTTTTAACATGTGTTGAGTGCACATATTCTTTGAGAGGCAAAACAATATTTCTGGAGGTACTTCGGCACTACAAGGCAATGAAACTCTTCAGTTTTAACGTGCATGAATGCACATATTCTTCTGCAAGGCAACACAATATTTCCGGAGGTACTTCGGCACTACAAGCCAACGAAATCTTTCTGTTTTGACATGTGTTGTGCACATATTCTCCGAGAGGCAACCCAATATTTCCGGAGGTACTTCGGCACTACAAGCCGACAAAATCTTCGGTTTTAACATCTGTTGAGTACACATATTCTTTGGAAGGCAACACAATATTTCCGGAGGGATTTCGGCACTACAAGCCGACAACTCTTCGATTTTAACATGTGTTGAGTGCACATATTCTTTGAGAGGCCGCACAATATTTCTGGAGGTACTTCGGCACTACAAGCCGACGAAATCTTCGGTTTTAACATGTGTTGAGTGCACATATTCTTTGAGAGGCAAAACAATATTTCTGGAGGTACTTCGGCACTACAAGGCAATGAAATCTTCAGTTTTAACATCCAATGAATGCACATATTTTCTGCAAGGCAACACAATATTCCCGGAGGTACTTCGGCACTACAAGCCAACGAAATCTTCTGTTTTGACATGTGTTGTGCACATATTCTCCGAGAGGCAACCCAATATTTCCGGAGGTACTTCGGCACTACAAGCCGACAAAATCTTCGGTTTTAACATCTGTCGAGTACACATATTCTTTGCAAGGCAACACAATATTTCCAGAGGGATTTCGGCACTACAAGCCGACGAACTCTTCGATTTTAACATGTGTTGAGTGCACATATTCTTTGAGAGGCCGCACAATATTTCTGGAGGTACTTCGGCACTATGAGCTGACGAAATCCTCCGTTTTAACATGTGCTGAGTGCACATATTCTTTGCAAGGCAACACAATATTCCCGGAGGTATTTCGTCACTACGAGCTGACGAAATCTTCGGTTTTAACTTGTATTGAATGCACATATTCTCAGTGGTAACACAATATTTCCGGAGGTACTTCGGCACTACCAGCTGAAGAAATCCTCGGTGTTAATATCTATTGAGTGCACATAGTCTTTGGGAGGCAACACAATATTTCCAGAGGGATTTCGGCACTACAAGCCGACGAAATCTTCGGTTTTAGCATGTGTTGAGTGCACATATTCTTTGAGAGGCCACACAATATTTCTGGAGGTACTTCGGCACTATGAGCTGACGAAATCTTCGGTTTTAACATGTGTTGAGTGCACATATTCTTTGAGAGGCAACACCACATTTCCGCAGGTACTTCGGCACAACCAGTGGATGAAATCCTCGGTCTTAATATCTATTGAGTGCACATAGTCTTTGGGAGGCAACACAATATTTCCGGAAGGATTTCGGCACTACCAGCTGACAAAATCTTTGGTTTTAACATGTCGGATTTGAATTTGAGCCGAAGATGGCCTCATTTTTTGACGTCGTGTTGCCTGATGTGGGAAGACTTACCATCCCACTGGAATAAGCCCGAATAGCCCACAGGGTATTGCATCGGGAATATGAGGTGGGTTTGAGAGCTCGAGATGCTCTTTTGGAGGCAATGGCACACATAGAGGATCAGTTGAGGCAGTTGGATACTATGATCATGCTGAATGAAGAGGAGCTTTGGATCAAAGCAAGGATTGAGAAGGCAGAGAAATTGGTGCCATAGTAGTGACCCCCCCCTGTCTTCGGATATATCTTTCGGCCTACTTTTTTGTCGGTCCACCATATGATCATGTGTTAAATAGCAATTGGGCCCAATGTTGCAGGATATTTCACAATTGGGCCACACCATCTCACCTTAAGGTAAAAGCATGCATTGGGCCCAACTTTATTCAATAGTGTGTAGATAGCATTGGCCCCATTGGGGTAGCTCTATGGTACATAGGTACAATTGACCATGTGGAGTACCATTGAACTATAATGTAACGTATGAGTACTTGTGGATAAAGTATATATGTCAGATGTGACTGTATGAGTTTTTTTCCAACATCTTGAACAGAATGCTGACAAGTTGGCATAACTTTGACAGAGAAACATGATTGCAGCCGCGAATGGGGCAGCTGCAAAAGCCAGGCAACGTTACTGGAGTTAGATTTTCAATCAAGTCCGTCAAGGGCGCATCTATTGCTATACTTGCATCAGTACATAGTAGTTGATACAAACATCCGTAAAGCAAAAGAATGTTGTTGAACAAATGATTCGTTGCCGAGCATTTTTTTTGTGGCCTGTCTTCAAATATCTCCACAAATATTTCATAAATTCCACCTGTGTATAAGATGTGCATTAGACCCGAGCCGGTTGCCGAGGGGTTTAATCCAGGACTTTGATGGACAAGACCAGCTAGGGTCACTGTTAGGCGGGCGAGTAAAGTTACGAACCCAATTCTCATGCTGGTGTTGAGAGTCGAGACTACTATGCCATGTGCAAGATACTATTTACATTTCACATAATCCCGTAATTGAACTTAATGAACGTGGTGTCTATAATATATCAATAACAAGAGGTAGTAAGGATCAAAGAACGCCGAACGCCTATTCCTCGATCGAGGAATCTCCGAATAGCCATTGTAACGACACTATTCTCCACAAGCCAAGTAGAACGCAAAATACAAAAACGCAAAAAATGAGAAGGTAGCCCAGCAGCGTGATGAGAAGTAGCGTCCACAGCGATACCGGCTTCCTCTCCGATTTCTCGTCGGGGAATGCGAAAGGAACTCTTCGGGATTCATGCAATCTAGGTGTCGGTGAGTGCAACGGAGTGGGTGTGGACTTTGGCCACTGAAGAGACCTGGGATCTTCGAAATCCAAGTGGCGCATAGAGGTGGGTTGGAGGAGACCGGGGGCGATGATGTAGGGGAAGGGTTGGGGTGGGGCAACAGGGATTTTGCAGCGACGTGCTGTCCGTGCGTACGCCATTAACGCACAAGTATCTTCCCAATTCATGCGACGGAGAGTCTTCATTTTTCGGTAGGGAAGGTCGGTGTTAAACCGCGGGCGGCGTACAAAATCGTAAGGCTACAAAAAAAGAGTTATATTCTGGCGAAAGGAATGGATCGGGTCAAGCACACCATCGGAGCTACGACCACCTCTCCCGACGGAATTTTTGAATCAGATGCAACTTCCGGTACAATAGGGGTACAAGTAGGCGACCTTATTTTGCAGCTTTTCTTTGACGTGACCGAACTTGTGCGTAAGCGCTTCCAGAATTTTGAGAGAGTTGGCGGTGACGCTGTGCCATCGGCGTCATGTGTGCATGGGTTTGAGCGCTTCCGTTTTCGAGCTGATAGGCCGATAACACCAAGGTAATGGCGCAAACGTTGTGAAGGGGTGGAAACAGTTTTTCGTCGAGGTGGTTGTGGTAGTGGTTGAACTGTTGTTTCGACCTGTAGGAAAAGTTGAGATACTTGAAGCCATCGCTCAACATTGACGCCGACCTTTTTTGGATGAAAATGACGCTCTTGGCGGGGCATGAAGTGAGCCCATACGAGAAAATCCTCAACAACCTAAGTGTTACGCGTGTTGGCAAGTTGTAAAGATTTGAAGGAGCATGACCGACCTTTTGTGCTTCGTTGGGGCCGTACGATCCAGGCTATCAAGGCATGCATAAGTAATTGAAATCAACTAGTATATGAATTGGCTTACATCGTCGTCTTCCTGTCCCCCTTGCTCTTTATTCCTTTCCCAAATGACTTGGGCGTCTTCGTACGCGTCGGCAAGCATCTGCATTAAAGACATCGTCGCCAAAGCATCGACGCGACCTTCAGGCGTGTCGACACGATCGGTTGTACGCTGGAAGGCAAGAATGTAAGATGCCGTCAAAGGAGTCAAAGAAAACACGTACCATGAAGCGGTGCCCGAAAGGAACATCGTCGGTGTTTCGTTGGGCCATTTTGCTCATGTTGAAAAAGTGGGAAAGACGGCGTGACGCGTAGATATGGTGCGGAGGGGAGGGGAAGGAGAGGGGAGTTGTATCGGAACGCGCCACTGAAGAGTAGGGGGATCAATCGTCAGTTGAAGACGCTTTGGAGAGGGGGGCTTATATACCACAGCCGCGACTATTTCAGCATATGTGGCCTGGCACGGTGATCAGAATACATGCGGTTATGAGCCACTGAGCCACTGATGCGGACATAGCTGCATTGTTGATATTAACCCCCCCGCGCCACGCCATTGTAAACGTCGATCGTGAACCCTGATTCGCGCAATAATTAAGTATAAGTATTGAGCCATCCTCGAATTTACGAGGGGGTGATTTCAGACAATGGCGCTTGGAGGGGCGGGCATCTGCTCGACATTTAAACTTGCTGGTGGCCACCGTGACTCGCGCGGATGATGGCGGAACTCCATGCGGAATTGAGTGTCGAGCGTTGAAAAATGGGTTTAGCTTGTTAGATATTTCAAGTGGAGTAACATTTCTTTCAGCGAAACACGGTAGGATAGGTTGAAACTGCAACGAGCTTGAAGAAACCCCTCTTCGGAGGGGAACTCGGGTACCTGTTGAACAGCGGCTTCCTCAGATCCAAAATACAGACACCAAATAGTTATAGCCACGGACCTAATGTGTGAGGGTGACGGGTGACTACACTCTTCCTTTGTTGCGTCCTGGCACCCGAACACCAAAAACGTCGGGATCGCAGGACACGTGGTGAACAATCTCTTGGCGCTCAGTCACACTGGTGACTGCTCCCGCCCTGTGCGTCTCAGGAGCTTCAAATTTTATCTGAACAGAGAAATGCGAAAGCTTGAAACTTCGGAGTACTGAAAGGGTTGTTCGCTCTGCAGATGTGGTAGTTTGCATTATGGAAAGTGATGCCACTGTTTGCCGCAATGTTGGGCTTTTTCTCAGGTTCGCATCTCCCGTAGCCACTGCTTGGCCACTGCCAGTGCAACGGCGTCGAGTCGGAGTCGAGTAACTGCTTCTTCGCATCCGGTAAGTTGTGATAATTACCCGTTGGTTGTACTTACTCATACATGTTGATCCAGGCGCTTAGTATTACTTAGCCCTGGGCTGGGGCTTAAACGCAAAAATGCGATTCCAAATGATGATCACTCCGAGTCTTGCGCACTGGCCAGTAAGTGCACCTACTCTGATACGACGCCAACCATCTGATGCACCTTGAGTGGATGGCTACTCGTCCAACTCGGGCATTTGAGGCCAAAAAATACAGTACCGCTCCAGAAGTCAAACCAGTCGACCGCTTTACAGCGCTCATTGAAGTGAGGCTGCCGCATCATTTCACTCCTCAGTACATCAAGTTTTTTCCCTTAATCATCTCAAGTCATATCTAGCCAAGCTAGGCGTCTGTCCTTGACACATGCGACAATAGCCTTGCAAACCTTTCCTCTCGCCTGTAGCATCGCAGGGTTCTTCATTCTTTCTGACCAACACGGCCAAAACAACATCAAATTTTTGATCATTACAGAAAGCCAACAAGTTCCCGACCTCGCATACCACCTATCCCCCACCGCAATCTAACACTGACACGTCTTCCACGGCGCTCCGCACAAATAACAAAACTGCGTCTTGCACCGACACACAATATGATAACACCCGTGTATCAACTCCACAATGGCCTTGCAATCCGGACACGTCTGCCACATCTCCTTTTTGGCGAGTTGGCGCACTTGGAGAGTTAACACGTTCTCGGCGCAGTTGTCTCCCGGGTGCGCTGGTTGTTTACACCCTGGACACGCGAGGGTGTGGCATTTTGGGCATGGGATAGCTGGTACTGGTGCTGATGCACTGGATGGCTTGTTAGTGGATGTCCCCGCGGAGCTGTGGGTAAGGATGAATGCGGAGCATTTGGTGTTGGGGCAGTATAACCTCGATGCGGTGGGTGTACCGAATTCGATGCATTTGGCTGCGAAGAGGCGTTGGAGGTCGGTGTTGAGGTATGGTGTGATGGTTGTGGTGTCTATGGGTTTATTGCAGCATTTTAAGGGGAAGAGGGTTTCGTCAAGCGTGCATGTTTTGACGAGGGATATGATGCATGCGGAGCAGAAGGTGTGTTCGCAGGGTAATTTGATGTATTTTTCTTCGTTGCTGAAATCGTTGCTGAAATAGTCGTGGCAACCGTTGCATAAGACTCTGCGTGTGGATGATTATGGTCAGATCCGAGTTTGGGAGGTGGGGAGGACGCACTCGTATGCTGGGAGCTCTTCGAACTCAAGCAAGGACTCCTTTATCTCCTCCAGGTCTGTAAAGGAAGAAGAGGGACTAGAGCTTTTTTTAAAAAGAAAACATCATTCAGCCATGAAACACGATGCCAAAAATTCAAGATACGTACGGGAGTGAATTGGAAGCTTTTTCTTGATCTTCGACCCACTTCTGGCACTTGGACATGTCCGGCATTTTTTCGCCTTTCGATAGAGCAACGGCGGCACGACGATCATCTACGGCCGCCTGCTCGCTCTTAGCAATGGCGATCAAGCACTCCCGGTCTGTCATGAGTGCTTCGCCCATACTAGCAGCCAGCGCGGCGTCGTTTGCAACTTGCAGTGCCACGCGCGTCAACTCGGCTTGTAGGTCAAGTGCGTACTCCGAGTCTGTTTGCGGAGTGTCATGGCGGGCTTTACCTTTTCGTCCCTCTTCTAATTCGTGGATGTTTTCGAGGGTGAGTCGGAATATTAGCTGAGATGAGGCGAGGTCGATATCCATAGAGTTGGTTTCATTGTTTGGGAGGGTGTTGTCGGTAAGAGTGAGTTTGGAGCCGGAGGGTCCGGCGTGTGCGTTTTCATGGATTTGAACCATAACTGCGGGGGAAATCTGCTAAAGCTTAATTTTGTGGAAAGCCTGGTGGGCTGGAGGGAGGGCAGGAATACATCGCGAAGTAGGTTTTATCAGACCTAGGTGAGACGTTTGAGTCTGATGATGCATCTCCAAAAATAACATACGCGAGTGTGATTTGCAAAACTACATAACATGCAAAACTCGGCACATGGTATAGCTACAATGTATGAGGTATATACATAGAAAAGGAACGTATGGACAGTAAGGGATCACGAAGAGATGACGATGATGATGTTTAACACACATGCTAAGAGTCATGATAGTCGATGAGGGAGGGTCATTGAACAATGAATAGAGGTAGTTTGCAAACAAAGTTCAGCAACTTCGAAAACAAGCAAAGAAGAAAAGGAAAATGTCAAAGAGATAAGAAAACGGGCAGAGAGCCCAGCTCAAACCCCACCCCTCAAAAACACCTAGCCTTCCTCCTAGTGCTACTCAACGCACTATCATCGCTCCCCACATCACTAATCGTGGCCCATTCTCCTGACTCCGTCCCCATAGCCGTAGCCGATAAACATGACGTCCGACTCGCGGCTTGAATGACGCCACCCCCAAAGTACAACCTCAACTCGCCGAAAGGGAAGGACCCACGCCGTTCATGTTCCTCGCGAATCGAGCCAATCGTCGAGAACGACCACTTCAATTTGGGCATCTGCGAGGGAGAGAGGTGGGGGGGGGCGAGATATCGCCAAGGGAAGGTGGGCTGCGCAGAAGCGCGTGATCAGAGTTCTTTCAAGGCCGTTAGCAATGTCAGTTCCCAAGTCGACCTTGGGGTTCGAAGGGAGTGAGAGGGCATAGCATCGTCGGATACTCCCCATCATCGTCACCCCCACATCCATTGCCCAAGCCCACGTCAAAATTCAAATCGAAAGTCGTCCGATTTAGATGAGAATGGACGGGCGCTTATCAAGAGAAAGGCTAATCGTACGTTTCGAAGCCGCAGTCTGCAGGGATGCCGGGCGTAGAGGTGGCCTGCGAAATGAGGACGAGGCTGAGGCTGAGGTGCGTGGTACGCGGGAGTGAACGGATTCAGGGGACGTTCGGAAGAGTGGCGAGAGGTGGCATTTCGCCAGAAGAGGAAGAGGAGACAATGGAAGAAGATGCAGACGAGGAGGGACGAGCGTTGGGATACGTGGTGGTGGGTATATCGGTAGGAAGGTTCTTCTGCTTTGTCATTTGCCAGCAGGAGGGAGTGGAAGATGATGAAAGAGGACGTAGTGGGTTGAACGGGGGACGAACATTGATTCGGGGCGTGAGGGGTTTTGTGTGGTAGGGAGGGGAGAGGGGAAGGTGAGAATTCTCTGATGGACCGCTCTCGCCTTCGTATGTTTCGTAGAATGATTCCGATTCCGATTATGGGGAAAGTGGTATGGGCCGTTACGTTTTGCACGAAGAACGCGGAGATGGAGCACTCGCTCCCATTAAGGGGACGTTGATAGAGAACCGTGGAGAAGGAAGTGTGAAGTCGTCGTCTGACGTTGATGGCATTGGCGGCAGAGTTCCAATCACGAAAATGGACTGAATTCTGAGGTTGAAACGGAAGAGGTGGAAGAGGTGCAAGAATGAGGTGAAGAGGGACTTGGGTAACTTGTAGGAAACATCTATGAATGCCAACCTGAACGAGTCAGGGGACGGCTCCGTTGGTGGACGATGGGCAAGTTGGGCTGCGGGGAGACGGATGTCGTTTTGAGTAAAGATGTTGTAGTCGAGTCCGAGGCAAAGGTGGGACCAACCCTTCCGATTGCATCGTCATCCCATCTCAAGTACCTATATGCGTGCAAAACCACCTCAAACTGCATACACCTTCCACCCTTCCACGCATTCTCTTTCGCAAACCCATGAGCTCGGTCGTCCACGTTTCATTGCCGTATGGCACATGAGCGACATTCTTTCCCTTGAAGCTGGGACGGATTCGTATAGGCTCGACAGACGAAAGGGAAGGTCGATAATTAGGAGGGTCGGGAGGTCAAGGGATGTTGATAGAGGACGTTTGGCGGACCTATATCTGTGAAGAGAGGGGTGGATGAGGTTGGAAGGGAAAGGGAAGAGGGTAGGAGTACCCGTGACACAGATGTAGATGCTAGCGCATCGGACGATGAGTATACATGAATCTATGCTAGTGGTGTGGGTTTGTTAGAACTGGAAAAACACCAGCAAAGGAAATGGAATGAACCTTTGACTCTTTCGGCATCTCCTCGAAGTCCGCTTCACATCGTTCTCCTCCTGATGGGTACGTATCTCCAGTGGGTTCCCCTGCCTAACGGCATGTTTAAGATGCCGTCCAAACACCGTTTGTTGCTCGTCGAAAAGTTGTCCTAATAGTGATGGAGCCCTGCCATATTTCGACGAGTACGGCGCGGGGCGTATAGGTCATGGCTTCTAGGGGGCTGGGTCAGAGAAGGAGGAGAGACTAAGATGCAGAGGGGCCGTACGTGTCGTTTCTACGGCGTTGGCGTAGTATTTCTCTCCTTGCGCGAGATCTCGCAAGGGTATGTATAGTCAACTGATGAACAACTTGAACCAGAATGAGTACTCGTCATCGATATGCACCAAAACCAAGCACTCACCCAAACAAAGCCAAGACGCAATCCCACACTAAGTACCTCCCCTCCGTCTTCTCTTCAGTTACGAGTCCGCGAATGTCTTCCAGGGTTTCTGGACAGTCTATACAGCTAGGTGTTCCTCAGACCCAGAGGGTGCTGAAATTTCTCCCCCTTATTTTCGGCTGTTTTGTGTGGGTTTGGAAGAAAGATCTGTCTGGGGTGGTGTTGGTGTTGGAGCGACGAGTGCTTGAATATGATTGGCGCCGTCAAGAGTGACGGGGACCCCAGCGGACAAGAAAGGGAAGGAAGTCAAAGGCAAAGGCAGACTATGTCCTTGTCGCGACTGTGGAGCATCAGCTTGCCCCCTCCCTTGACCTCTTCAGCGAGCAACGGGGAGCCAAAACACTTGCTGGAGTTGTGCTGGAGAGCAACGTCGCGGTTGAAGAGATCACGGTCACAGTCCCGGGCCGCGGCCCGCCCAGCGCTAGTAAAAATTAACGTCAACATCCATGTGTGAATGACCGAGCTCCCGAGCAACTTTTCCGGCAGCCGCTCTCTCGCGAGTTTGAGTTGTTTATAACGATCACAAATATAGTTCTCCTCCTAGTACGAAAACCTCGCGAGACGAGCAGCTGCTTTTAGGAGCCTGCCGTCACAATGAAAGAATTCCCATAGGTCTGTTCAAATTACATAAAAGGTGCAAAAATGACAAGTTTGTCACGGAATCCGCTCAACTACCCCTTGTTCAAGGTGAAATTTCTGATGAAAGAATGGGAAGAAAATCTTTCTGACACCACACCTGTCAGACGCATCAGACGCGCCCGACCTTCCACATGCGAAGAGTTTTCCTGATGCGCATGCTCGACCTTCCTTCATCTTCCTTTGGCTCCTCTTCATTGAACCAGGGCGGCAAAGCATCAGGTAATGGCGGGCCGTCTTCGTCATCACAGCTCGAACTGGATCCATTTGGCATTAGCGGTGCCTGAGGCGGCGCCAGAAAAGAGAATAGTCACTCACTTCTTATTCTCCGTGGGGTCATCCACCTCTTGTGCATGGGGGATTTCTTCCACCTCTTGTACATCTGGGATTTCTTCCTCCAGCTCCTCGTTATCGGAGCAAGGCACATCCAATGAATGGTAACACATCACCGACTCGGAAATTTCAGCACAACGCAACTCAGCCTGAGTTTCATACTTTGGCATCATCCCTTTCCCAACGTCACTCTCACGTAAAGACGCCAGCCTGAACAACGGGGTAAAAACGCGTTTGCCATCCTTATTGATCTTGGTTTTGAAATTTCCTGCGCTCGAACTGCGAACCCATTTGCCATTAGCGCTGCCTGAGACGACGCCAGAAACAGGAGGCTCGACGCTAAATCCGATAGCAATGTTTGAGGTCCCTTTGGCTGTGAGGAGGCGGGCGAAGGAGGAAGACTTGTGGGCCTCTGAGACGATGACACGGCCTTTCATCGACTCGTCTTTAAGGAGACGACGGAGAACGCCGGGGGGATTGATGGTCGAGACTGACTCATTATCCATAACCAGGATCGCACCTTGGCCTGATGTGACTTTGAAAGTGCATTTGACCTTGCATTGCAGCAGCGCGGGGGTTTGCCTGATGAGGACGACACGTCAAACCAAATTTCTCTGATGAATTTTTTACATACCCTCCTACCCCGGCGTCACCTTCGAGGTCACGGGCATTATCCGAACTGATCCAGGTTTGCCCCTCGTTCGACGAGTCAGTGCCATGTTCCTTGGGATCTGGAATCTTCCACTTCTCGGCCTGGCCGTCAGTGTATATGTTCCCCTCTTTCAAAAACGTGCCCTGCTTGCGCCGCCAACAATATTTGGGTCCGGCGGTGATGAAGCCATAGTCGCCGACTTCAACGGGGACTTCAGGATCCCAATTGGCATACTTTTTGCTGGCGCAGAAGATAAGATCAACATAGAGTCGTTCTGGATCGATCATTGTGGATTGTGATGAAGAATGCTGTTTGGTCTGAGGGTCATTTGTACTAGCAGGATGTGCGATTTGATGTCAACATGTCACTGTTGACAAGTCCTGGGTGACAAGTCCTGGAAGGCTGTGTCTCCACTTCCAGCGTCATTGCAGAAACTTGCTGCGAATTTCTCAGGAGCATCGTAAGCTGCAATAGTCAAGCTTCTAAGAAGAACGTCATGAAGAACTGACGTGTGAACCTACTCTACATCGTCGTCTATTTTGAAGGTGAAAACTAGGTAGACTTGGCAGGTACGAGAAGATCACCGCTCTAGCCAGAAAATGGGCACAGGGTAGATGTTAGCTCTGCCGGACTCTTCTGTTATCAACTGAGATGAGCGCTTCCTTCCACCTTGTGACTACTTACTGCGGGCTGCAGGGCGAACGGGAACTTTCCTGAAGAACATCGGATAAGCAAACTTGAGCTGGTCGCAGCCTTACTTAGAAATATAACACCTCCTTTGGTAGGCCTGTCCTGTCGTCGTTCTCAGGCTCCACTGTATCCCTTTAGCGGGCTGCATCACTCACTCTCTGTGGCCAAATGCGAACGCACCGTGGGTCCGTACGACTTTTTGTGTGTTCACTGTCTATGACGACATGAGCCTTACAGCGTTATTCCACTGTTCCCATTCTATTTCCTGTAATTTTCCGTCCCCAGCCAGTAGAACAATCATATATAGTGATAAAACAAGGTCATTAGCAGTGAGTTCATTTCTTGAGCCTCGATTCTTTTGATTATCGATGCGGATTTTGAAGAAAGCTTGGTTGGAGGGTGCATGGCGAAGTGAGTTTTATCAGACCTAGGTGAGACGTTTGAGTCCGATGATGCTGATCTTTGGTTGAACTCTCCAAAAATAATGTATGCGTCCCTGGAACGCGCCAAGAATACGCGACGCGACTTGGACTTTGTTGCACGCATATGATGCCTCCATTGCGACCTTATCATACTCACGATGCTGTATACAGTTGTGGACAAACAAAGTCATCAAATTTGATAACTTGAGAACCAGAATTTTTATCAAAATTCTGACTTCAGATTCAGATTCAGAGACCTCGAAACTGTTCAAAAAAGGTGTTCCCTTAATTTTCCCACGCGTTTTTGGTTTGGCCAAATTTTTGGGTGTTTTCAATGCACCCAAAAGTCTTCTGAGTCGGCCATCTTTGGATCAATTCTGTGCAATTTATAACCCTGGTGCAGTAGATGCGTGAAAAAATGAACCAGGGTCCATTTATATCTTTTTCCGGGGCACCTTGACCGGAAAGGGTATGCCCACGTGACAGTTTTAGCAAAATTCCCACCATCGAAGACATCGATATTTCAGGGAGACTTTGATGAAATCAAAGAGAGGAAACAAAAAGGAGTCGATTGGCATATTTTTCGTATTTTTAGCTATTTTTTCAGGCACTGGCCAAATTTTTGGGGTATAAAACCCTTATATCGTCATTTCTGGGAATTCTGCTCGTTGGAATTGATCAAGGAGATCAATAGGAACCCATTTATACCATTATCTACCAATTCCGATGTTTTTCGGAGTCCCAAAAAATAGGTCAATAAATTTGTTGACTTTGTTTGTCCGCAACTGTAGATCATCTGAAATGATAGATCTGCGCGTCCCGATATATGCCCTTCAACAAGGGCAGCCAAGAATTTCTTGCCTATTCACCTAAGTACTGCGTCAGTAATTACTTCACACTCGCTCGGATTGCCTCCAGCCTATACTCGTGTGCATAAACAAGGCGATCCCGATTTGAAATATTGGCAGACTGCCCATGTTTGTAGCTGCTATTACATAATAGCAGGTGGCTATGTGCTTATGTTATAGCAGGTGGCTATGCATGTGCTTATGTTATAGCAGGTGGCTATGTTTCTGCTTATGTGATAGCAACTGGCTCCCTTTGAAAACCATACTTCTGCCCTCTCTGCAGCCTTCTACCACATTTTTACACTACATAAAGTCGAAAACACATTGAGATTATTACACAAATATTAATTATTACCAAATTTCCAACAAATTTCTATCCACTTTACTATTTAAACTGATGAATCAGTTGAAATCAAAATTCTGAATTGCTGAATTTTGGACATACTACTCTCCTTTCAATATAGCTGGTGGTTTCTTGTATTTTTTCATGCTTGAATGGCTGTATTATTATCTGGTAGATGGGGGCTCTGATTAATGTGATAGTTTACAAAGCTTATGCATGAGTGAGCAGCCAGCATTTAATCAAGATCCTGACTGGAAAAAATTGCATGGAATGGTAATCATGCAAAGGGAGATGAAAAAGATATTTTTGCAGTCTCTGACTTACAAAATTTATAGTTCTCATGTTCTACTTTCACACAATGAAAACTATCATAAATTATCACATCACAATCTCATAGACAAAACCAGAATATGTTGTAGGTGCAAAGATAAAAAATCTTGCTCAATCAAACATAGACCAAAATCAAAGTGAAAGTGCCTCACATACATGTACACCCCCAGCAGGCAAAATATTGATTCCTGTAAGCCAAATTCTTGAAAATACTGCTGCTAGCCCATCATAAATTACTGTTTTGTTAACCATTAAAAGACCTGCACAATATGTCCTAGCAATTTCAGCACCCCAATTACCTCCAAATAAAATCAGAGCAGAAAGAAAATGCTGGAAATGCTGTACATTGAGGGCAGTAGGGCAAAGAGATGCTGCGAAAAGCCATATGATGATTGCAACAGAGTAGATTGTGATAGAAGAGATAGCTGGCAGCCTACAAGGCCCTGTCAGAACAAAACTGATGGCCCAGATGCAGGTGGAGATGGAAGGATGGGTCTGTAGCTTGCAGCTCATGCATGAAAGATAAGATAAGATAAGAAATATTCTCTTTTTTTCGCTTTTTTCCTCTTTTTATTTTATTTTATTTTATTTTATCTGGTAGCAGCTACAAACATGGCCACCCTGCCGAAATATTCACATGTGCACCACCATCTTCTTCTCGTTATGTAACCAAATAATGAAACTCGCCGTCTTCTTTTTCCTTTCCCCTCCTCGCTGACGATGACGATGACTATAACCGAATGTGAACGCGTCCACCACCTTCTTTTCACCACAACATTCTTTGAATTGTCGTTTTGCCCATTTATTGGTGAGCCTGAGGACCCCCACCATCATACCCATAATTCCGAGTCCCCGAACGTCAGCAACTTCGAAAACAAGCAAAGAAGAAAAGGAAAATGTCAAAGAGATAAGAAAACGGGCAGAGAACCCAGCTCAAACCCCACCCCTCAAAAACACCTAGCCTTCCTCCTAGTGCTACTCAACGCACTATCATCACTCTCCACATCACTAATCGTGGGCGTAACACTCCCCATTCTCCTGACTCCGTCCCCATAGCCATAGCCGATGAACATGACGTCCGACTTGTGGCTCGAAAAGTACAACCTCAACTTGTCGAAAGGGAAGGGACCACGCCATTCATGTTCCTCGCGAATCAAGCCAATTGTTGAGAACGACCACTTCAATTTGGGCATCTGCGAGGGAGCAGTGGGCTGCGCAGAAGCACGTGATCAGAGCTCTTTCAAGGCCGTTAGGAATGTCAGTTCCCAAGTCGACCTTGGGGCTCGAAGGGAGTGAGAGGGATATCATTGTCGGATACTCCCCATCATTGTCACCCCCAAAATCCATGCCCATTGCCCAAGTCCACGTCAAAATTCAAATCGAAAGTCGTCCGATTTAGATGAAAATGGACAGGCGCTTATCAAGTCCCAGGTCATCATCATAGAGGGGAAGCGAGAACATAGATGACTAATCGTCCGTTTCGAAGATGCAGTCTGCAGGGATGTTCAGGCGTAGAGGTGACCTGCGAGATGAGGACGAGGCTGAGGCTGAGGTGCGTGGTAGGTGGGAGTGGAAGGATTTGAGGGACATTGTTCGGAAGAGGTGGTTCATTCGCCAGAAGAGGAAGAGGAGACAATGAAGGAAGACAGACGAAGAGCGGACGAGCATTAGGATGGGTGGTGGTGGGTAGTTTGGTAGGAAGCTTCTTCTGCTTTGTCATTTGCCAGCAGGAGGGGGGAAGATGTTATAAGAGGGAGTGGTTTAGCGTAGTGGATGGCGTAACGGGGGACGAGTATTGACTTGGGGCATGAAGAGTTTTGTGTGTGTGGTGGGGAGGGAAGAGTTTTGTGTGTGTGGTGGGGAGGGAAGAGGGGAAGGTGAGAATTCTCTGGTGGACCATTCTCTCCTTCATAGGTTTCGTAGAATGACTCTTCCGATGAAGATGATAGGGAGAGTGGTATGAGCTGTTCCATTGAAATATTTCATGGTTAAGCGAAGGACGTGGAGATGGAGCACTCGCTGCCATCAAACAGTAACATTGATGGATAACTGTAAGGATGAGCGGCTTGAGAGCTGCGCTGCAGGGATTGAACGCTGAACCACGGAGAAGGAAGTGTGAAGTCGTCATCTGACATTGATGGCATTGGCGGCAGAGTTACCGATCGCGATAATGGACTGAATTCTGAGGTTGAAACGGAAGAGGTGGAAGAGGTGGAAGAGCGAAGTGAAGAGGGAGTTGGGCAATTTGTAGGAAACATTTATGGATGCCAACCTGAACGATTCAGGGGACGGCATCGTAGTTGGTGGACAATGGGCAATTTGGGCTGCGGAGAGACAAATGTAGTTTTGAGTAAAGATGTCGTCGTTGAGTCCAAGGCAAAGGCGAGACCAACCCTTCCGATAGTATCGTCAACCCATCTCGAGTACCTATTAGACTCTGCGCCTCATGGGTACGTATCTCCAATGGGTTCTCCTGCCTAATGGGTACGTATCTCCAATGGGTTCTCCTGCCTAATGGGTACGTATCTCCAATGGGTTCTCCTGCCTAATGGGATGTTTGAGTTGCCGTCCGAACACCGCATCGAAAAGTTGTCATCGTAGTGATCGAGCCCTGCCATATTTCGACAAGTACGGTGCAGGGCGTGTAGTTCATGGCTTCTAGGGGGGTGGGTCAGAGACAGGGGAGGGAATAAGATGCAGAGAAACGTACGCGTCATTATTACAGCGTTGGCATAGGATTTGGCGTCGTGACTGTTTAGCTCAGCCAGCTCTCCTTGCGCGAGATCTGGCAGTGGTATGTAGAGCTGACTGATGAGGAAATTGAACGGGGTTAGTACTCGTCGGTATGAACCAAACTCCGAGTCAAGTACTCACCCAAACAGAGCCAAGACGCAATCCTACACTAAGCACCTCCCCTCTGTCTTCTCTTCAGTCAATCCCAAGTCGAATGTCTTCCAGGGTTTTTGGACAGGTGCCTCGCACAATCCAGCTAGGTGTTTCTCAGCTCCAGAGGGTGTTGAAATTTCTCTCCCCCATTGTCAGGTGTTTTATGTGGGTTTGGAAGAAAGATCTGTCTGGGGTGGCATTGGTGTTGGTTTAGGCGACGAGTGCTTGAATATGATTGGCGCGGATCTCAAGAAAGTATGCCGCTGTATGCAGTCACAGTAAGAAATAGTCTAAGAGAGGTCGCGAAGCCACAGCTGGCAAGTCACTTGGTAAAACCAAAGTAACATGCACGCAGCACAGTGAGGGCAAGCTCAGCTTGCTGAACGATTGTGTCACGCTCGCGATGAAAGTGTGACTGGTGTCATGGATAACATTCTGTTTTTGTCAGACTCAGGCGCCGACACACCTTAGATCAAAGCCAGGGTGTACCAACAACGACACCCAACACACTCAGGCACATGACGATGTGTCGCTGATATCCCATCAAATTGGCCATTATTGACACTCCGACATATCTGCCGAGTAGGTGCTGTTAGGGTTAGGGATGTTAGGGTTAGCATATAAGATAATACATGTCCTTGGCGTGGTAGCACACTCTTAGGTCTCCCTGCGCAATAGCGCACTCTTGGTTAGGTTAGGAGGTTAGGGTTTGGGATATTTTGTCTCCCTGCGTGGTAGCGCGTTCTCAGTTAGGTTAGGAGGTTAGGGTTATGGTTAGGGTTCTCATTAGGTTAGGAGGTTAGGTTGCTGGTTAGGGTTTCAAACTCCGCTGAATTCCCCATTCGGGGAGTGTGTTGCTGTTGGTATATCCTCAATCAAAGCCTGGCTGATGGTACGGATGGCGCACCATACAATGGTGTAATTAACCAGCTTGAGGCAGGATTTATATGCGGCATTGTTGCCTTGCAACATTGGTCAAGATTGATGGGGACCCCAGCAGACAAGAAAGGTTGAAGAAGGAATTTGAAGTAGTGTTTAAAGGTTCAGTCCATAGGACCGCAAAAAACCGGTGGACTGAACTGAACCGGACCATGGACCGGTCTTTTTTTCGGTTGCAGTTGCCCCAATTTGGGGTTGGTCCGGTTGCTGGTTGCCTCATTTCGAAAATCTTTTAAAACCGTTCAAAGACCGGTTTTAATCGGTTGCAACCGGTTAAACGGTCGCGTGCGTTACATAGCCTTGTAACCACGTTTATTGCCTTTTATTGGGTTTTTGTTTCATCAAAAACGGTTAAGAATTGAGAAAGATATAACCAAATCCATATTTTACCCAAGTCTCTACAAGATGTAATTCGGTTTCAGTCATAGCTATGTCAAATCTTCATTACATCTCTTCAAAATTGGTAGAATGACGGGTATTTACATGCTTTACTATTTCATATAACCCGTTTATTTTTCAGGGTGATAATAGTCAAGATACAAATGGTTTACATTGGTATAATAAATTATACGCAAAAAAACCGGTCTGGATCGGTCTGAACTGGCTCCATAGACTGAAATAGACCGGTTTTAGGTGGTTCGGTTCGGTTCCCTCAATATCTGGGTCGGTCCTAGACCGGTTGCGGTCCACAGTTGCGCGTTTTGGGGGCAAAAAACCGGACTGAACTGAACTTGCGAACACTAATTTGAAGGCAATGTCGGAGTTTTCTAATCTCGGTCACAATTGGTCACAATTTGTTGTGCGCGTCACAATTTGGATTGCCGTCATAAGTCAGTGTGACCAAAGAGTTTTTGGTCACGATTGTGATTATAATGCCGGTTGCAACCAATATTGAAACCACATTCCAACTCCGCGATAAGATTGTAACGATAAAGATTCGTGATAACGAGCTACTAAAAGAATTAATACTGTCCTTTGTCTTTGTAGTCCCAGATTATAGTCGCTTTTGATTGTTATTGTAGTGTTTTTTCGTTCTTGTAGTGTTTTCGTTATTCTTGTTATTGTAGTGTTTCTAGTAGTTCGTAGTTAGTTATAGATAGGGTTTCTTGTTATTGTAGTGTTTCTAGTAATTTGTAGTTAGTAATTATTGCGCTGTCTGGGATTTGAACTTATGACTTACCTGATTAGTGTTTCTGAACCCTTTCTTACATTGTCCATAGTAACCGCTAGGTTATTGCTCAATATATAGACAGTGCCTTCGGTTTAACTTGACAGAGTGGCCGCTGGTTCCCACCAGTCCCAATGCGTCGCCACAGGAGCTCACCACCATTCCTCCTTCCCCTTCCCCATCCTTGCCGAGAGCCTCCACTTTATCCTTCGTTGCCCAACCCTGGTCTTTTGACCTCCACATCCGCGCTTCTCCGTCAACCATTCTGTGGATCGGACCGAAGTCGTCGAGCTCGATCTGCAACAGCAGATGTCATCTGAGTACATCACGTACTCATCGGACACCAACGGATTGCTCTGGTCCACCGGCTCGTACATGCACCATGGGGACGACTTCGATTTGACCGCCATTCCCCCCATCGAAATCAGACTGTACCGAAATAACAAGAGGACTGAATCGGCGCTCGCGGAATCGAGTTTGGGCAAGTGTTCACTCAAGCCCTTGAGGGAAGCCAATACCCTGACGAGAGCCAGAACCTCGACGAGATTATGGCAGGACATGGGCAGATGCTGCGCGTTTAGGTTTTTGTGCAGGTTCTAAAACCCCCTCGTACGTCTTTCTTTCATCTTAGCAATATTTTGCCTTTGGGCCTCTAATTGTAGCCGCTTTCTTCGCGTTACGACGCCGCTCACGATCCAGGTTGTGTCGCTCGGAATGTACTGGGTATCAACCACTGGCCTGCCCTCGGATGTGTCTCGACGACCATTCGATTTTCTCAATGGCAAGTTTCCCATACACGACACATTGATTCTACCACCCCCTCAGGAAAACACCCATACCACCCCCTCTGGAAACAAATGGAAAAAAGAAAGCACCATTTGAGAGACCGGGACCGGGTAGTGGGGGATTTGCTCGATGAGGGTCTCAGAGGCGAGGGAAGCGTCGTATTTCGTGGCGAGGTTCTTCACTCATCTCACGCGACGTTGTCGCGTTCGCTTTTTCTTAGACTTGTACTGTATGTCCTCCAGCAATAGCATCGTCTTTTCAAGGAAGCACCATTGATTCCAACAAAAGACCAACGAAACACGATACACTAGATACTGACACTACGTACCAATATTGACTGTATGAAGAAGCCCGCCTCAAACCCGACGTCCCCTCCTGCGAGTTGCTGCAGGCACTGCCGCCGCCATCTCCGTTGCAGCAGGCACTGCCGCCGCCATCTCCGTTGCAGTAGGCACTGCCGCCATCTCCGCTGCAGCTGTCCCTGTTGCCAATCCCATTGCAGGTGCTCGTGCCCTCTTCTTCCCCTTCTTAGCGTTAGCGGGTTGTGCCACCTCTTGAACGATAGGTTGCGAGGGTTCAGCCGTCGTGGATTGAGGCTGGTGTGACGAACCTGCGCTGTCGATTGTCGAGTCGGCACGGCGCTCTGCGTGAGCACCAGAGTGGCTGGCTTGTCCCGGGGTGCTGGTGCTTGGGGTGAGTGCAAGCCTGGTGAATGCTTCCTCGAGACCGCTGCTGTCGTTGTTGTCGTTCGGAGCCACTGTGTTATTGTTCGTTTGTGTCTTGAAGATGATGTCGTTGTAGAACTTGAGTAACGCCTTGTGGTATGGTGTGCCTGCCTTTGCCTGAATGAACTCGCGATACGAATTGAAGTCTTTTTGATAGTCAATGCCCGAACGAGCACCTTTCCCTGCAGCATCGAACTCCACGTCGGGGGAAATTGCTGCCCGAACCTACATTTCGGCTTGGCATACGTTTTATTCCGGGAGATGGAAGCAGCACCTTGCAGGAGGCCCTTTAGTGCCTTGGTTAATGGTGAGCAAAGACCCTCTCGCAAGACTTAAACCATGGCTTACCAATGCAAGCTCTTGCGACATGAACAACATACTCATATTGGTTTGACGGTTGGGGAATAGAATCAGCGCGTACTTCGTATACTTCTTGCGTGCAAGCTCTGACCCTGGCTTCAACAGTGCATTGAATTCTTCGATTTCCGAGCGATCAAAGTCAGCTTTGAGGCGGGATGCAATTTGTGGGATTGAGCCAAAGATGACGGGGAGAATTTTTGACCGTAGATCGGACATCACAGTGCGTAAAAAGCTCTTGCCTGCTTTCGTGAACTGAATGAGGAATATCAGTGAACTATAATGACACTGAAAAGGAAAAGTTCCGTGACTCACAATGTGCTCAAACTGGCGATACTCCTGCATAGCAGCATGCAGGTCAGAGGGAACAACCTCATACACCTCTGCTACAAGACATGTGTGCATTGTGGCATCAGATCGGTAGCGTTCGGAATCGCTTGACACTACATTTGGCCGTGTCGATGCCACGAGGTGGCCTTCCAACTTCATTGGGAAGAAGGGGTTATTCATGAGCACGAATCGACGTCCGAGATGGCTGATCATTTCACGGCGGTCCTCGATGCTTTTGGGAAGGTCGCTTTGTCCACTGGGTTGCTTCCTGCTACGTTTAGGTTGCTGGGCCTTGAGCGCAGCAATGGTCGCAGCCTGCTCTTTGACAAGCTTTGCAAGGCTCCCCAATTGAAGCTGTGCAGCCTTCAAAGCCTAAATTTATGTTAGTGCTCGGTTCTCAAAGTCTAAGTATGAATAACTTACATCCTCGTAGTCCTTGTAGGTTGGATGTTCCCCGACTGCTGGAACCTCAGCGGCGGCAGTTGCTCCATCAACGTCGTCATCATTTGAGGTGGTTCCCGTGACGTCATCGAACCCGGCAAACTCTTCGCCTTCGTCACTGTAAATGGTGTCAAGGCCGCTGGGAGGTTGAAAGTGACGCGGCATGATTGGAATTCCACGAAGAACTCTGGCCTTTGCTCTTGGTGTTTTTATTACACAAAGCATCCACATGTAAAAACCCTGGCCACATTGTGATGGGGTTGACGGTAACATACATAATAATGCACAGTGCTTGCAATCTCACTCATCCCTGAAAATGCCAATACTCCCTGAACATCTTTAAGCAATTGAACACCGGCAAGAATACGAATATATTTTGAGTAATCATGGCTGTAAATATGGGTACATCTCCTGTAAACGTAAAAACATGTCCACATCAACAATGTCAACAATGTGATGCTCGTCAACACTCTCGAACGTTGGGACAATGAAGGCCCCTCGGATGATTGATTGTACAGGAATAAATTCCACATCTTTTCGAGGTCTTGCACAAACTCTAATGAGGCCAAGATCCTTGTCTTTCCTCCGAAGCATGCCAGTCGGGGCATCATATGCATGGATAAGTGCAAACAAATGTTGTTGATCTTCAACTTGGAAAGAGAATGCAAAAACCAGACAAGCAAATATTGGATTGTTTTGTGTGCACACAATAACACAATCATGTCTTGGCTGTTGATCTTTTCCAAAGTTGGGTGTGCAGCGAAGGTAATCCTCCACTAAACGCCAGGTTATTTTTGACTCGTACTTGATTTTGAGATATCGATATTCAGTCAACTATTTTCAAGAGGTTAGCTATATGAAGATGTATTGAAAGAGCCAGGTACCAAATCGGTTTTTCTGATGGTAAGGGCTTTGTTTTGCGGATGAGGAAGATTATGGGCAACAAGGAAATTGTTGATAAATTTAGCAAACTTGATTCGAAAGTTGATGAATGCAGAGTCTGAATTTTCTTCAACTTCGGCCATTGTCATTTGCTTTTGTTTTGCTCCAAGATGGATAAAGCCGCCTGGGTCATCAGCTTCATCCTGGGGTTCTGAATCAATTTGGCAATGATATTCATCAAGGTTGTCAAGCTGAGCACGTATATAGTCTGCAACAGCTGTCCAATGATTGTGCTGCAGGATCTAATGTGAAAAATAGTTTGAAGCATTGAGCTAAAATTTATCCAATGATAATAACAATTTATTACCTGGCCCTCAACTTCCTTGAAATTTGTTACACGTGCATATACTTTTTTGGCTTCCCCATGCATCTGTTCACTTGGCTTTGTACTGTAATTCTTTGTAACACCCTTGGCCACAATGTCATCGAACATATGGGCATGTGTATGGCGCTTGGGAAACTCCCAGTTTTTCTCTGAGTCCCCATTGTTATTATGCTGCTCATAAGCCTGTGAAATAAGATGTGGTTGGTTTCACCTTTACAGCATTAGGCATAAAATTTTAGTATACCTTCAAAGCCTTGGAGAAACGCAAGAGCTCTTTCCGACCTGCAGCAATGGTTACTGCGGTGTGAACTTCCAGAGCTGCATACATATCAAGAGAAATATAGCTTCGGAGTACCTTCAAAAGAAGATATCCACCAGGATGTTCAGATTGGGTGATAATGTTGTGTGTTGCAAAAATAACCATCTGCATTTGGTTAATTCAAGATCTGGATTCTAAAAGGCAAACAAACTTTGAGAATGTCTTCATATTTTCTTGCATCTGAAAAGGTAACTGATGTAACATGGTCAAAGTGGTTGAGATTTCTCCAACGGGGAAGGTTTGCAATTCTATGGTCAATGTGACAATGAGCACTTGACAAGAAAAAAAAAACACAAAAAAAATAAATTACTGATCATCTGCCTGCTTTGCTGCTTCACGTGTCCCTTTGAGAATTAGTTGGATCTGCGGGAGAATATGTTTGCCACCGAGTCCTCCAGGATAGCTGTGCATGCGATCCCAGGATAGAGCTGCATGAGGATCTGAATTTTCAATGCTCCAAAATGCATTCTAGTATTGAAGAGAGTGTGAATTGATATAAAGATACAAATAGAATGTGATTACCTTGACAAACCGTAGCCCAACATCTTTCATCAATGACTCTGCATCTCCACGTCTCTGAAAACTCTTTGCTTCATTATAAGCAGCTTCTGAGTCTTGAGCTGTTCGTAATGGATATGCTGTTTCTAAGTCAGACAGCTTCTCTAATGGAATCAAACAGATAGGGCATGGGCATAATCCATTCGACCCTCGAATCAAAGCCATAATACATCTGAATAAAGACTCAGAATTTTTGATTGAAAGCTTCAGATTAAAATGAACTTACTGCTCTTCATAGTCAGCAGAAAGAATAAAAACCATTGGAAATAGATGTCGTTGAACTTCATCCCCACATTCAACCCAGCATCCAACTTTTGAATATTCTCGAATTGATTCTAAAAGCATGTGAAATGATTCATGCCAAATAACCCGCTTGAAATCAACATATGCCTTCTTTCCTTTTTCACCTTCATCATCTTCAACCTAAATAAAAAAGAAGTTAATAAGCATAGTCCTACAGGGAAAGAAGAGGTAGCGAACTATTGGAAGCCAGCCAACAACACTACCACCACCAAGACCCTGACCATTGCTGATTTCACTTGGTAAATTAGCGATTTTTGCGATAACAGGGTAACCCATCTGGCTACCAAATGATGAAAGCTTTGTTTTATCTGCATACAAGATGTAGCAGAGAGGTTTTCCGCCAGCTGGAAGTGAGGACTAATATTATTCATATTAAGTCATATGTATGCAGTAAAGTTTAAAACTCACTTGTGCTTTCCAAAATTTGTCACCTGTCCATGGTTCATGGAAGAATCGTACATAATCCTTTCCATCAAACTTGAATAACCGCTGAGCATCCCACTCAAACAAAGATGCAAGAAGGGGATTTTTAACAAGATCCATTCCCCAATCCCACAATGAGCGATAATAAAAAGGATAATTATGCTCAACCCCTTTGTAAGAATGGCCAACTGTCTTCTCTTCAAACTAGAGACAAAAAGAAGGAATAAATACATCTCAAACATAAACAACAATTTTGGAGTCATACAGGTGTTAATTTATTTGATGCACCTTGCAAAATCTCCCGCATTTCTTCATGACTGTCGAGGGTGAATTTTGCACCACCAGATGAGCATGCACGAAGGATTTCAATAAGTTTATTGACCGTCTTCTTATTTAAATGAGACTTGAGAGCAATTTCCGCAAACTCAAAATCAACACGAGAGCGGAAGGGACGCCACGGCTCATCAAGCGGTCTTGGCCTAGGAGCCTCAGCCGATGCGAATCCGTATTCATTAAAATGATCAATGCGTGTGGCGCGGCCGCTGTGTGGATGATAGTCAGTCTTGATGTCATCTTCAATTGGCATAGCGCAATGAGCTGAGTCAGGTCTGGCCTGATCAAGCATATCAGATGCAGGCAGTGGTGGTGGTTCGGGTGATGCGGCACGACTCTCCCAGTTTGCCCACCCATCGTCTGTTAAAGCAGGACTTTCAGAATTAGCTGAGAGATATGGAGAGCAGAAATACCAGGTAAATCCAGCAGTCCAACATTCTGGTGTGATTCCCCACTTGTTTCTCGTCTCAAAGGATCTGATGAAATATCCCATTAGCATACTATAGGTAGAAAACATCTAAATAACACATACTAAGATGTGTTGGTGCCGCCATGGCCTTTGCGAGCGTGCGCCGACCAAGCGCCAGCAATTCCGCTGTGGAATCAAATATCAAGATAGAGTTAGGGAGTGTAAAGAATCACGCACCTTCTTCTTTGGCTTTTCTGTCCCTCAGCTCCTTCTCAACAACCTGTCGATCTACCCTTTCGTTTTCCCGCCGTTTCTGACAAGCTTTTTTGTGCGATCCGATTCCGTAGGGGCTGAACCCATGCCCACAGAACTCACATACAACCTTTTCCGTTGCCTTGGCTTGCTTGTGGGTTTCCATTTGGCTAGATAAGATGACGAGCGCGAGATGTTCACAACGTAAATGCGCCATGAGGTTGGGAGAGAGGAATGGGAGGTAATCAGGTCGCTATCAACACGATGTCAATGATCCATCATTACGCGGATACAATTCCCGATACGATTACATTGTAACTGATCCGGTCCATCAGTTCTCAGTTATAACCGAACCAGGACCCTTTCAACGCCTCGATCCGATGGCAATCTATTGCAACTCAGGTTCAAACCAGTGTTGAAACTCAGTCAGAACGCGAGCCGGTTATGACCGGCTAAAGAAATCTCCGACAAAGGGCAGCATCAGGAAAATCACACATGTGTGGCGGCCCATGAAGGCGTGGCCAAATGTGGCTGGCATGATTGATCTGGCGCCACCCCACCATAAATTTGATCCCAGGGTAAATTGAGCCATGCATGCCACAATATAATCATTCACGCCACGTGCAAAGATGTCAAGTAACAATAATTGAGACTACTACAAATTTCGAAGTGTATGACTCAAGGTTACAAAATGCCAGTGTAATTACATAGTATTAAAAGCAAATCTCATTTGCATGGTGGTCTGCATACTTGTTTACATAGAAGGCTTCAAAGACATCGAGGGACCAGGTGTGTGAGAAATGAGGAGGAAGGTATTGGTGACCAAAGACAGGAATGAGATGTGCAGCATGGGTCCTTGTCGGAACTTGCAATCTGCCCAGCGCTAAACATCATTTAGCAGTGCATGTGTGGGAAGTGAAGTCGCTATGCGAAGCTGTGGAGCTTGGCACCTAAACTCAACCCTAAACCCTCACAGCTTGAACCTCAACGAGCAGGCAAACTGGGGACTTTTTGGCTCAAATGGAAAGAGACTTACTGGGACAAGTGACTGTGAACGATGGGTATGTATGTCATCACCAACGTGCGGAGCCATCATCGCTAACTCGGACCGTGGCTCTGAAAGGTCGTTGATTCTTCAAGGGGCTTCAATGCCCATTATATCTGGTGGAGAGCTCAATAGTGTTGGACACGACTATTATCACATCACTACCAACATTCAGTGTAAGACTTTATCTTCCAAATTATGTTTCTTATTCAAGAACTGGTATTTAGATCAAGGTGTGCGATGGCGTACTAGAGACAGTCGACACGTGTTGGTGAGTGCATCAGGAAAATCACATCACGTGTGGCACCATGCTTCTCATTCAAACCACACTCAGCCACACTCTCACAAACAATGATGGGGACATTATACTTGTGGTGACGACTGTGGTGCCACAAACGATTGTGGCCAGTCAATCCTGCCACAACCTCATCACAATGTCATTGTGGGACCACAAACCCAAGTTCTTATTGCACCACACTGCCCAATCAATGCAAAAATAAAAATCATTTTTTTGTATTACTATACTACGTACATAAACATGTAGCTACTGATGTAAAAACCAACTAATTGACAGAACACATGAGGGGAAACTCACTGATCATCCTTGATGCAGCTGTCCTCTGTAAGATTGATGAGGTCTGGGTTCACAATGTCTGTGACAGAGGTCAGGAACGAGGTGGATAATGGTGAAGTGGGAAAAGCACACCATCAAATGTGCCACATCATTAGCATGGGGTGGGACAAACGTGGGTTGGCAGGTACTTACTGTCACATCCTAAAACATGCAACAAGAATGAACGACATTCATCGTTCGGCTGCCACGTCGCTGACAAGCGACGTGGCACCTCCATTCCCTGATAGAAAGATGAGTGGGGGGGAGGTGAGCTCACCTCACTGCAGCTCATTGCAATCTGTCTGGTGGGTGGTGGTGGGAATGACAAGCACATTTGGATTACAGTAGAGAGGAAGTAGATGCCCTAGGAGACAGACTTGGGTTACGGCTTTTGAAGGAGGCAAGTAAAGGAAAGTTACCATTAGTTGGGCAGCATCAGTGATAGTGCTTGGAAGTCCAGTCCCAAGACTGAAAAAAGACTGAGACTGGACTGGACTGGACTGAGACTGCCCAAGACCAGAAATTCGCAGGACCATCAAAGACCACAACCGCAGTCCGGTCTTCGGTCTCTCACAATCTTGGAAATTTCAAGACTGACAAAAGACCAGTCTTAACCAGTCTTTAGCGGAATTCGTAACCAAACAAACGAAACTCATAACTGGTTACTGAATACAAACACAAACACTCCCACCACCACCATCCCCACCACCTCGCATCCGTGTAGGCCTGCACATCAACCGCAAACATCACACGCCAGTAGTGTTTAAAGGTTCAGTTCAGTCCGGTTTTTTGCCCTGAAAACGTGCAACCGTGGACCGCAACCGGTCCAGGACCGACCCAGATATTGAGGGAACCGAACCGAACCACCTAGGACCGGTCTTTTGCGGTCCATGATACCGGTTCAGACTGATCCAGACCGGTTTTTTTGTGTATAATTTATTATACCAATATAAACCATTTGTATCTCAACCATTATTACTCTGAAAAATAAACGGGTTATATAAAATAGTAAAGCATATAAATACCTGTCATTCTACCAATTTTCAAGAGATTTAATGAAGATTTGACATAGCTATGACTGAAACCGAATTACATCTCCTAGAGACTCAGGTAAAATATGGATTTGGTTATATCTTTCTCAATTCTTAACCGTTTTTGATGAAACAAAAACCCAATAAAAGGCAATAAACGTGGTTACAAGGCTATGTAACGCACGTGACCGTTTAACTGGTTGCAACCGATTAAAACCGGTCTTTGAACGGTTTTAAAAGATTTTCGAAATGAGGCAACCGGCAACTGGACCAACCCCAAATTGGGGCAACTGCAACCAAAAAAAAGACCGGACCATGGTCTGGTTCAGTTCGGTCCACCGGTTTTTTGCGGTCCTATGGACTGAACCTTTAAACACTACATGCCAGAGCTCAAGTGTGAGCACCCTCATCCCCTCCCCCTCTGTTTTTTAACACCAGAAATAGGTGCCACGTCGCTGACAGTGACATGGCAACCACATGACGATGATGGATGATGTTGTTCCTCTTGACGAGTGCCCACATCAATGACCTACAACCACAAGTGTGAGCACTCATATTCCCTCCCGCTGCATTTTTTAACATCAGAACCAGGTGCCATGTTGCCAACGACGATGTGGCAACCAAATGACGATGATGGATGTCATTGTTCCTCTCGACACCCACTTGCATCTCAGAGAGCCCACACCAACAACCCACAACGACCACAGTGAGCACTTATAACCCCCCCCCCTCCCCCTTTCTCATTTTCAACACCAGAACCAGATGCCACGTTGCTGACAGCAATGTGGCAACCACACAACCCCTCCATTTTGTTAAACCAGAACCCCAAACGACATCTTTCATCTCAGCCTCACTCCCATTTCACGAGTGCCCACATCAATGACCTACAACCACGAGCGTGAGCACTGACAATGCCCAGCAGCCATCGTAACACCCCCAACCACTGCCACGTCACCCCCTCGCTCTCTGCCACCTTCAGTGTTGACAACAACACATGACAACAACCACGCGACAACGATGGAGACAGGTGCACAATGATGACGCGAAGTGGTAGTGACAACAGATGAGCCCCCTGCCCCCCCTCGTTCACTTTTGTGTAGTACTAGTATATTTAGTAAATTAGATACATATTTTCTTTATGTTAGTAGCTACGAGACCAGTCCTCAACCAGTCCTCAACTAGTTGAGACTGAGACTGGTTGAGACCGGTCTTTCAACTGTAAAAAACTGACTAAAAACGCACTGAACCGGTTGACATTGGTTCAGTCCGGTTTTTCATGGTTCTTCAAATTGGGAGGACTGGTCCTGGTCTCGGTCTTGTCAATTTTGGACAAAAGACTGGATGGACCAGACTTCCAAGCACTAATCAGTGAGGCCCCAAGATTGCGACTTGTAACACGGCTAGTCATCATTCACGTGGTGCCGGTTCGTCCTGGTTTGTCGGCGGTTGTGGGTTGTAGTCAGTGTTGGCTGTTATTGGCAGCGTCGTTGGCATCATTGGAGATGGTATGACATTGCATTGACACATCGTTGTTGTATGGATTGGTCAGGGGCGGTCGGATTGTTTGCCATGTCACCAACTCTGCTTCTCTTGTCAAAAAATGTGAGGGGAGGGTAGTCTGATGGCTCACCAGCTCATTCATCATTTGTTGCCATGTCATCGACAGCAACGAGGCCCCTGTCTTGTGAGAAAAGAGGAGAAGGGGAGGGAGTTTAAATACTCACCTTGAGTAACATGGTCAGTGACGATGACATGCATTGTCACCCTCTAGTCGACGTGGCACATCCGTTGATGTCCAGGTCATTGTCGTTGGGGCAAGTCATGGTTGTTGTCATCAGGGTGCAAAGGTCGTTGGGGGCGGGTCACCAGAGGAGGTGGTGGTTGGTGGTGGCAGGTGGTAGTTACGCAGTGGAGCTACACAAAGGTGAAGACAAGGCAGAGGAAGGAGCTGGGTGGGGAGACTCAGAGAGTGTGAAGTTCAAGGAAAAGTTCCTAAGTTCAAAACTTTCCAAATTCGGATGTTCAACATGTCGCGTGATTGGTACTCACACAGATCTGTGGAGTCAAAAATATTGTGATGCACGTGGCACAATTTATCCAGAGATCAAAATTATGGTGGTGTGGTGCCAGATCCATCACTCCGGCCACACTCCGCCACGCGATCACGATGTGCCACACATTTGTGATTTTCCTGATGTGAGAACAATACTTGTTCTGCTAAAGGCTGAGACAAATTCATTCAGTCATCTACTCTCCATCAAGGCCAACGGAATCCCAGGAGAGGTGTGACTATCAACATTTGTATCTTCAGAATCAAGTTTCTTATTCAAGACCAGGTCAAGGTGTGCAACGGCATAGGGACAATCAATTCGAGTCAGTGAGTAGTTTATCTAAAAACAACACTTGTTCTGTGAACGGCTAAGACAAAATTCAGTCGTCTACTCTTCGTTGAGGCCAGCGGAACCCCAGGAGAGGTACAACACTGAGTACTTCATTCCAACATATTGTCATCTAACTTCCTCGGTCAGATCATATGGTTTCTCAGGACGTAAGTCGAAAAACATGTATCCCTGCCACTATGTTCACGCCCCCTCAGTCATTGGATGAGGAAGACAAAGAGTGTATAGAGGAGAGCAGTAGTACAATTTATGAGCACCAAATGGAAAAACACTTTTTTTTGTTAGGCACATTTAGGTGCAATCACTGAACACATCACGTCTATAAATAGTATTTTAAAATAGAACAGCTCAGTGATCGATTGAGTCCTCAGTTCAGACTGTTCAGAAGTTACAGCTGAAAGCAGAATGATGGGCCACACCAGATCGACACATGCAATGGTTGAATATCTCCTATGTACTTAGAAATATATGTAATACCCCCTTTGGTAGGCCTACCCCACGTGGCCTATCTGTTGTCGTTCTCTAGACTCTCCTCAGTCCGCATTGGGAAAGTATCCTTTTAGCGGGCCCATCACACAGTGATGGAGGAAGAGGTAGACAGAAATTGGGGTTCTTCAGCTTCTGCTCAGATGTTTCGCATAAGGGGACTACGCAAATTGGGAGAGTAGAGAAAGCAGGTGTGAGGGGGATGGGATTGGACAGCTGCTAATGGGGTGAGGGATGGATATCAATTCAAAAAGACGAAGACTTTGCGCAAACTTTGCGTGAGCTTTGTTCAATCAGGGTTCCATTGTTTCGTGTGTTTGGTCGCTGGAGGGTCAACATTGGGTATAGTCATTGTTTTTTGTCAGCTGCTTTTTATGTATACTGTATGTAAACTGTTAGATACAAGTCAGAGAATTATAGTGGTGCAGAGGGAGTGAATGTGTAATCTTGTGACAGTGTAACTTTTGTGTGACTAGTGATTGAAACATCACACATGTTTTCAAATTCTTATCATTGTCTTATCAACACTCTACAGAGCAGCTTGTTAAAAAGGTATGATATGATAATACTTGAATAGTGGTAGAAAAATGGGAATACTGAAGTCTGGCACAGAGGACACACCTTAGATCAAAGCCCTGCTGATATTGTAGATGGCCAGCGCACCATGGCACTAGCAGTACGGGTATACTAATCATAATCCAAAGGCATGTCCTTGTCAGCGATGGTAGATATGCAACTCGCAATCCGCCCAGGACACAGCACTCAAAGTCATTTGGCAGTGTGTGTGTGAGAAGGCTATGTGAAGCTGTTCAACTTGGTGCCCCATCAGCGCCTACACTCTTACAACTTGAATCTTAAGGAGTAGGCGTAAACTGGGGACTGCTTGGCTCAAATGGACTCACCAGGACAAGTGAATGTGAATGATGGGTATGTTTGTCATCATCAATGTGCGGAGCTATCATTGCTAACCCGGACCGTAAATCTGAAAGGTCATTGATTCTTCAAGGGGCTTCGACGCCCATTATCTCTGGTGGAGAGCTCAATAGTGTTGGAGGAGACTATAATCGCATCACCATCAACTTTCAGTGTAAGACTTTATCTTCCAAATTATGTTTCTTATTCAAGAACTGGTACTTAGATCAAGGTGTGCGACGGCGTACTAGGGAAAATCGACACGTGTCGGTGAGTAGTAAGAACAACACAATTGTTCTGCTAAAGGCTTAGACAAATTCATTCAGTCATCTACTCTTCATTGAGGCCAGCGGAATCCCAGGAGAGGTGTGACTATCAAGACTTTATCTTTGGAATCACATTTCTTATTCGACTGGTACTTAGATCAAGGAGTCCAACGGCAGAGGGACAATCGACACGAGTTGGTGAGTAGTTTATCTAAAGAACAACACTCGTTCTGCTAAAGGCTTACAAAATCCATTCAGTCATATACTCTCCATCAAGGCTGGCGTAATCCCAGGAGAAGTACAACACTAAGTATGAACAGGTACAAGCAAGTTCACACTCAGATGGGTGGCAGTGCACAAAGGGGTAACAGGGAATGAGAGAGTCGACAAGGAAGCAAAGAGGGCAGCTCAGGGGGACTCGAGCACGCAAGAAGAACTGCCGCCAATCCTACGCAAGCACCTGCCATACAGCGCATCGGCAGTGAAGTAGGAGTTCACAGAGTCACAGAAGATTAGGTGGAAGGAGGCATGGCAGGGCTCACCACGTTACGCGAGGTTTCAACACGTCAACCCGAATTTCCCATTCAACAAATTCCGGAAACTCAGCGAACGGCTTACCAGATCGCAGGCAAGCCTGATGACGCAGCTACGGGCAGGTCACATTCCACTCAATTTCTATCTCCACCGCATCAAGAAGTCACCAACCAGGTGCTGCGAATCTTGTTGGGGCATCGCAAGATCAGAGGTCACAGAGACGGTAGTGCACTTTCTGTTCGAATGTCAGGTGTACACGGCGGAGAGGTATGACATGGACAGAGCCTTGGGACGATGGTCGAGGGATCTGCAGGGTATTATGGAGAGCCTTGAGAGGGTGAAGGAGTTACTGAAGTATGTTGGAAGGACGGAGAGGTTCAAGAAGACACTTGGGGGCACACTCGGTGATGTTTCCCATCTGGATTCTGAGGAAGCCTGACAGATAACACTTGATTTGCCAGATACATTCAACGGAAGCATGGAAACTGAAAGAAGGGCCAGCCTTACAGCTGGCGGGTTCACCCACAAAACTATTCCATCTCATTAACCGCATTTCAGCCCGCGGACTTCAAGCTCAAGTCTTTTCGTGCCAGCAGACAGACATACATGCGCACTCAAGCAAACAGTCACAACATTTTCTTATTTCTCTTCCTGCGATGCTCGTCCCACCTCGGCTGTGCCTATCGCTTGGCGATCGGGTACTTAGAAGATGAAACACAAACTCAGAGGACTGCAAAATCCAGCAAGGAGTCAAGACTACCCCACTCACAATACAAGTCGCACCTCAAAACGGTGTTTCCGTGCCAGGCTGGAAGGGGGACTGTTCGCCATGGGCGTGCCTTCTTCGGTGCATGGGGTGGACTTAGGGGGTCAGGAATTATGGCATTAGGGGCTGTAGGTAGTCTACAGAGTTGTAAGGTCTGACATGGGGCTTTGCCCCAATAGACTTGAATTGGACAAAAAAAAAAAAAAAAAGTACAAATGCATACTTCATCACAACATTGTTAACTAACTTCCTCGACCAGATCATATGGTTTCTCGAGATGTGAGTCGAAAAACATGTATCCCTGCCACTATTTTTACGCCCCCTCAGTCATCGGATGAGGAAGACGAAGAGTGTATAGAGAAGAGCAGTAGTGCAATTTATGAGCACCAAATGAAGAAACACTTTTTTTTTTTATCGGTTGAAGGTCCAGATCACCTGAGGGCACATTTTGATCATATCTGCAGATCTGATCTCATGTCTCTAAATAGAACATCAAGCATGACAGGTCATAATTTATCATGGCGAGCGCTCCTTACTGTCACAACACTAGTACTGAGTACTGAGTATGAGTGCCCATACCAAATAGTGTTTATCAGATAGTTGAATTTGGGTCTGATTTTACCGTCGATCACATCTTTTCGTCTATCTACTGCCAGGTTCAAATGACAGATTTTTTGGTAAACATAGCAAACAAACTCTATAAGCGCGAGCACAAAGGAAATGGGACAGAAACAAGAAGAAGCTGGTGCTCAGCCGTGTTCCCTTCTTTTTGCACTCCCTGGACCCCTCCAGTAGCAGATTGCATCACTCTTCCTCCCACCAGGATTTTGTAAACTCGGGCGTGGCTTATCCTCCCCCTCTTCTTCCCCTGTGTACTGCCTTCTTCCAGTGCCCGGAAACCTTCCTCTTAAGCGTCGTCAACCCCCACCCGCAGAAGAAGTAGATTTAACAGTTGCAGTACGCTTAATGCCCTCCAAACGGAAACACCCCTCCGAAATCCACCCAAACCCAGCAGCGCGAGCTTCAAAGCTGTCAACTGGTAAGACGCTGTCTGTGAAGAAGCCAAAGACAGTGTAGTATGGCGTGGCGGGATCGTTGTCGTGGAGGTGTTTAGGGTCTGAAGAAGAAAGGGATGGGGAGTAGACGGGGAATGGGATGAAGGATCGGCGTCATGGACACGTTCGCTCTGTTCCTATGCACAATATGCTTGCACGAGTGGACTAGCAGGCATAAGTGAGGGTGGTTTGGGAGAGGGCGCAGGTGATTGCATAGAAGAAAGTGTCAAAGCTGCTGGGTGAAAATGGTTTCGACGGAGGAGTTTACGCTGTTCATCCTCTGGTTTTCCAGGGGTCCTTCTTTCATCGACGGAAGATTTGTCGATTTCTTGGGGATTACCATAGCGGCTGCACGCCGTGTCTCCTCATTAACCCTCCTTTCAGCCCTGCCCTCACGCCTCCTTGCACTCCCCTTGCCCTTCCCATTTTACCATTACCAGCAATGGTAGCAGCCCTTTTCACCACACCCACACTCCTTCCGTTACTCTCACTTCCGCTATATGGAGCAGGCTTAGCCAACAATCTCTTCATCATCACGCGGGATGTTGGCGAGTCAGGGGAGCACGTGGTGCATGTTGGGCGTCAAGGGGGTCTTAGGATTCCAAAGTCCGACTGGGGGTTGGGTAGGTAGGTCGGCCGCAGGCCCAGAAAAAAAAAATTGGAACCCTCTACAAAATGATCTCAAAACAGGCCTGGAAGGCCATACCTTGCAGGTTTGCAGTGCCAATACACTCCAGAACATGTAGATCAGTCCAAATTCAATGATATTCAAGCTTTATATAATATTTCTTTAATCTTATCTAATCATAAATTTGGCTTGGACGAGCAGGAGTCGAGGGGCGCCGGTTCAGACCATTGCCAACATTTCTAGAGGGTACATTTGCCGAAAAACAATTTGTTAGCGCAAGAGTGACTCACTAAGATATTGCAGTCATGCAGCCGTGGAATCTCCGGAACTCGAGGACAGCTCGGATGAGCAAGAGTCGAATGGCGCCGAATCTGGACTAGAAGAACAAACTTCAGAGTTCAAAGAGGGATGCGAGGGGAACATGACACGTAATGCAAAGTTGGCAGACAAACACGACGTAGAGATTGAGGGAGTACTATGTGAAAGTGGGGAGATGGCGGTAACAGACGTGGCAACAAATGTCACCATTGACGATGTGGGCTCGGAGAAGGACAGCGTGAGTATCATCTATACTTAGTTGAACATGCACTCACACGATATTTAGCGCCCTGTTCTTGGGCCGCCGTCAGAGACCACCCCAAGCGCCTGCAACGTTAGCGACAGTGTAAGTAATAGCTGTAAATACTACCACCACAGAAGAATGTGGCCGTTCTAAACGAAATCGCATTCCGAGGCAGATGCCAGCCTTGAACGGATGCCTGTGTGGAGTGGTGGTGGACCCACATTCGGATGGGGTTGTTGAATGTAAGAGGCTTGGCTGTGAAACACAACGGGTAAGTATATGTTCCATCCAGCTGAGGTTACAAGTTACTCACCTATATGCCAGTATCACCTACGTTGCATTTCGTTGGAAATTATTCCACGAAACTGGGTTTGCGAGGCTTGTGAGGCATCTGGCACAGGTAGAGGAACAAAGCGATCACGACGATGACATCATATTACCATATATAGAAACGTGCCTGATTACGTAGGTAGGTAGGTCAAGGTAGTACGGCTTTAAAAAAAAAATCGACCCCAGGTCCATTTTTTGAATCCTAAGACCCCCTTGTTGGGCGTTGAAAGATCGTTACGTAGACTTTGACTTTGATTCTGAGTCTGACTTTGACTCTGGGTGTGTGATGATGACGGGACCAGGGTCGTCGGCGGACCACCAGGCCCTGGCCGAGACGTAGCGGCGTTAAAAGAAGGTATAAGCGGGTAGGTTGTGGTGGAGGGATCCAAGGAGGGGAGGTGAAAGTTGAAGAAGACATCGTCTGGTTTGTTTAGAAAAAACGAGTCACACCCTCTTCGATTCTTCGTCGAAAAGGAACGTATGTCTAGAATTCGAATAGTGTACTTGTTCTATATATCAATGTCAATCCGAAGGGCTGCTCGCATAAATAAAAACTTACCAATGTCAATTATAAAGTTTTAAAAAAACGAACGTATAGGGAAGAAGGAATAAAAACGAATGTGAGTGGCGGAATTGAGCCGGGGGCGGATAACCCTTGGCGACGAAGGGGGTACGGGCTGGTATTGAGTTCGGAAACGACTCAGCCGAGGAGCAATTATGTTTTTGGAAAGGTCTGCCAAGTAGAGACCGAGAGGACGGGGAGATTGCAGGTTTGATGGAAAGTGATGCGCCGAAAGACCTACTGGAAACGTTGAGGCAGTCGGATTGGCAGCAAACGGGGCCTTCCGTACTCAGCAGGACTGCTGAGTAAGTACGAAGATCCCGATTTTAAATACCATCTTCTTCTCGTTATGTAACCAATAGCCGTCTTCTTTTTCCTTTCCCTGTCTCTTCCTCGCTGACGACGACGACGATCACCGAATGTGAACGAACCGTCGACAGCGTCCACCACCTTTTTTAAATCGTCGTTTTGCCCATTTATTGGCGAGGACGACCCCCAGGCAATCATACCCACAATTTCCAGAACGCATCCCAATATGTTCCTCCGAGGTAACCTCTCAAGGCGGGATGCCTTCCTTGTCCTGTTCGGAGCATGTTTCATGCACATCTCGTCCTTCGTCTTCCAAAGCGGACAGCTGACAAACCAGTCAACGGCCACGGTGATCATTAACCAGCCGGCTTTGACGGCGTCGATTGCTTCTAATGCAAATGCACCTACGGAGACGCAAACGCCTAGTACTGGGGTCGTAGCAGAACAAATTGCCGCAGCCTATCCTTCTTCACTAACGCATATACCCCAATCCAATGCCCTCCCACCAACCATCATCCTTGCACACGCACCAGGATGGACGTTGTTCCAGAATCTCTACATGTCGAACGGGACGTTATTCCTCATCATACCCAACTCATCATACACCCCTTCGACGAGCGCGAGCGACGCATACGGCACCACGAAAGTCGACGGCTTGTTCCCCGAGATCAGGATGATGACTAGCACGGGGCTCATGGCGCTCAACAATCCAGAGAACATCGCGCAGAGGGAACCTACGGAACGGGAGATGCGCTTTGTGAGCGTACTTGAGGCGGTGGGGATGTGGGGTAAAGAAGGCGAGGAAAAGCGAGTTTGGACGGTTGATGGGAATACGGTGAGTTCCTTCAAGGCGTCAAATTAGCCTTTTTTGACAATTAACGTTCTCGATCCTACAGCTCCTCTTCAACGACCCACCCCAATTCCTGCGACACTACTACCACTTCGTTGCCGAACTCTTCCTAGGCGTTCAAGCATTCTGGCACGGCTTCTTCTCTTCACCTACATCCCATAACCCCAAATCTTCTTCCACGCCTCCGCCAATACATCGCGCCATATTCATACACTCGGACGCGGATGGATGGCGAGACGACCCCGGGTTTAATGCATATTTCCTTCGAGCGGCCTTTCCATCTCTTACAGTGGAACACCAGGAAGACTGGGGTGATCGAGTGACCGCTAGCATTGAGTCGGGTGTGGGGGACGCCAGCAAGGCGAGGGCATGGCACTTCCCCTTGGTACTTCTGGCAGACCGAAGCGCAGCGCATCGCGGCGTGATGTGTGGGAGTCGGACGCAGAGGACTGCGGCGGAGGCTTGGGACTATATGCGTGTCCGTGGGACGTTGAGAGGGATTCGTGTGGGTGGGTGGTGGAATCCTGTGAGGGAGGCGATCTGGCGATTTGCGGGTGTGAAGGCATCGCAAATTGGAGGTCATGCTCGTCTCGTCGGAATGGACGCGGAGAAACAGATGTTGTTGTTGCCCATGCCGGAAAAGATTGTCATCACTTACATTTCGCGACAGAGTGCACATAAGCGGAGGCTCTTGAAGGAGGATCATGAGGCGCTCGTTAAGGAGCTGGAGGCGTTGGTTGCACGAAAGAATGCGGAGAGGGAGGCTGGTGGTGGTGGAGAGAAGGAGTTGGTCAAGGGTGGGGGAGTCGAGTGGGCTCCATTGGCAGAGACGAGCAAGTCTTCCCAACAGCAACCAGAGTGGGAACTCCAAGTCCTCGAAGCGGAACATATGACCAAAGACGAGCAAGTCCGCGCTGCTTCTCGAACGACCGTGCGCCTTTCTTTTCCCTTTTCATGTCCTCAGTAACAATGTCCTAAACAGATCCTCCTAGGCGTACACGGCAACGGCCTAACCCACCTCGTCTTCATGCCGCCCACCCGCATCTCCGCCGTGATTGAGATATTCTGCCCTCCCGGGTTCGCACATGACTATCAGTGGACGACGCGGGCGTTGGGGATGACATATTTTGGGGTGTGGAATGATACGTATTTTACGCGGGAGCCGGAGGTGAGGTATCCGGAGTGTTTTCAGGGGGATGGGATCATGGTTTGGGCGGGGGTTGTGGTGGAGATTGTTGAGGGAAGGGTTCGGGGGAGGTTTGATTGAGAGTGAGGTGTGGGGAGTCGTTGTTGAGGGTTAAGACCACGAAGCCGTCCATCCACCTTTTTTTTGATTCCCAAGGTTCAAAATATTCCCTTCCTTCTTCGATTTTGTATTTCTGGTGCTTGGAATATACTTATTCAGGTCCGCTTGTCTGCCCTTTGTCTATGGCGTTTTCTGCCTGGCGTCGCTTTCGACCACAGTATCCAAATGACATTCTACAACATGAGACCTCGAAGTGACGTCTGAGAAAGGTCTACCAAACTAGTCCGGCGGAGGGTAGTGCATAGCGTGAGGGGAACGGCGCCACTGCAGAGGAGGTTTTATGTGAGGGCGTTGCAAAAGCTGGGTTGTTGACATCCATCGTTGGCCCAAGGGAAATAAAGTGTAATGGGTTCGTTTGCGCGAGACCCAGCTGTTTGTAGCCTCGTTAGCTACCGCCATGATGGGAACAAAGACAACCATACTCGAGAAATCTCCTGAATAAATGTCAACCGATGAACCAAGAACCGTTTGACCTCAGGTTCATAAATTCAAAACGACCACGACCCTCTCTTTGCCTGTGAGCCCCCTCCCTCGATCATTCCCTGAAGGGCACGCAGAAGCCAGCTCCGTCGAAATGGGCCATCGTTGCGATGGAATAGGGTGAAAGAGCCGCTCGAATTTGTGAAAAGCTTTTGCAAGGCATACAAGGCGAGCTATTACACTGTCGATTGGGTCGTGAAAGGCAGTTTAGGGTAGGGTAGCAGAAAGTGCACACCTTTCTGTGGGTCGTAGCTGTAGGTGGGAGAAGCCTTGTCAGGAGAGCATACGGACGTTAATTCTTGGATCAGAGGGTATGTAGTGATAGAGTCGACGTTCTTATGAGCATGCGTCCCAGCGTCCCTAAGAAAAACGGCTGACATGATGTGAGTATGACCAGGGCAGAGGTACCCGGAGACGACGGAAAAGAGTCCATGATACAGTGATCGAGATCCAAGAGCTACTGTCAGACTGTGTTCGAAGGGCATTGCGGATGAGGCAGCGTGAGTGGGAGGAGAAGGAGAGGTGAATTGTGGTACGAGAGACTTGACGGGAGAGTTCTGCTGAGTTTGAGGCATCGACATCCATCCGTGGGGACGTAGATGTCCGCGGGGCCGTCAAAACCGTCATCTTCTGACCTCTCCCGCCCCATCACAAAAAAACCCTCAATCTTCGCCGACGCCGTCTTCCTTCACGTTCCTCACAAAGCGCTTGAATCAAAGCTTCTCCGGTCCGCTCGCATTGCGAACCAACCCCAGCTCGAAAAGATTTGAGAGGTGGTAATACCATCGGCTAGTGACTCTCCATTCCCATCCCATCCGCGTCAACTCTATTGAGTGCGAGGTTAGTCGATGTTGCAACCCCGTGGAAAGACGGCTCCGGGCTAACAATGGGAACTGGGCCTCTGTCAGAGAAACGCAGGCCGAGGGTATGCTAGGGTACGGTGGGAATCTGCAAGAGGACGCCGCGGTGTACGAGACTCGAGGTAGGGCCAAGGTTGGGTTAGGAGGGGGAGAGTTTTTGAGCCATCGCTGGGGGGATGGTGATGGAGGAAGAGGTAGACGGAAATCGGGGTGGAGAACATGCTTCGCGTAAGGGAAGTACGCAAATTGGGAAAGTAGAGGAGGCAGGTGTGAGGGGGATGGGATTGAACGGCTGCTAAAGCGCTAATGGGGTGAAGGACAAGAAGACAGAGATTTTGCGTGAGCTCCATTCAAGCTCTGTTTCAATCAGGGTTCCTGCCCATCGTTTCTCGCTGGAGGGTCGACATTGGGTATAGTTATTGTTTTTTGTCAGCTGCTAGTTATGTAAACTGTCAGATGCAAGTCAGAGAGTAGGAAACTGATCTTCCGAGGTCGCCGCGAGCTCATGTGCTAACTTGGTGTAGCAGTCATGTGACCTACACCTCATAATACTCCGAAGCTCCTCGCTCTCTCCGATTTCATCTCATATTACTACTAGAAACTATACTAATATTCTTACAAATACTCTTACTCATAGATAATTACTTAGACATCTCGGGGAGGTATATAAGATCCCCCCTCGTGTAGACTTACTCCTTAGCTTTTTGAACGAGATACACTTAAACAGTCACTCTTGTTTCGAAGGCTCTTCCATTCCATTGTGTCGTTACTGTGACTACTGTCACGCTACCGCCACATATTTTTGACTGAACCCCGTATCTTAACTCTACTCTAACTCACTTCGCTCGTCGCCTCCTGTGGACGCCAACCGGTCTGATCAACCAGTTACTCCTACGACCGACGAACACCAACCGCATTCGCCATGTCCCGTTACAACCTTCGAGCGCGCCCATCTGCTGTTATATCAGCCGGTCCGATCACGGACATTACCGGTGCGCACGCAAGCCCTCCTCATCTCGCTGACACATCCCTCTCTAGCCTCTCCTCGGCTAATGTTAGCCTTTCCGCTGCATCGGCTGGACGCCCCGCAGCGGAACCCTCTGGTATCCGTGTCGTCGGCCCAGAGGAGAAAATTTTAGAGCCTGGGATTGATGTCAATATGGACAACCCATTTATAGATAAAAGCACGTACTCATCTAATTGGGCGACGCCCGGTAGTCGTCGCTCTCGTAGTCTTGACACCCCAAAGAAAGTTTCTGAGCTAAATGAAAATCAGTTCAAAGTTGTACAGCTCGCGCGTGAAAACTTAACTAGAAAGCAAAGAGATTTAATCTCGAAACGTGAGGATCACGTACGAAAGAAAACATATTCTCATGAAGAAAGTACCTCCAAGGGGAAGGGAATTGATCCCCGAAATTGGGGGAACGCCGATATCTCGGATACAGATCTAGACATTGAGGCACAGGCGTCGATGTTAGATAATATTAAGGCCAATCATAATAATGAACAACGTACTAGTCGTATTATTAGTCCTGACGAGGACACTGCTAACAAGAATCCTGACGAGGATTTGAATAAAAGCGCTGAAGAATCAAGCATTAGTAGCAATGAAAAAAGAAAGAAGCGCAAAAAGCGCACCAAGAAGTCTAAAAAGACCTATAAATACCGAAGCGCTAGCACGCCGCTCTCTCGAGAATACAAGGAAGAGATTAGTAAAGCAGCTGGAGGGCGTCAGGAAAAACCTACCAAGGCAGACGACAACACCGAAAGGGGCAATAAACACATTGTACACAATTTCAATCCTAGCGCGCAGATTAATCCCAAGAGTTATTTGGGCGCTGCCTTTAAAGAAGCTAGAGAATTTAAAAATCAGGCTCAGAAAGGTCGTAAGACTCACGGTAATATGGATTCTAGCTCCGAGGATTCGGACTCTGGAAGTTCCGACTCGAGTTATAGTTCTGAAACTACAGACTCGAGTATGGATCCTCTCAGTGAATCAGACATTTCCCCGTCTGATCCCGATAGCTCGGACTCCGATACTGAGAGCTCTTCGGACTCTGATATATCTGATGATAGCTATAAAGACTATAAACGAAAGAATAATAAGAGGTCTAAAAAACATCGGAAGCATAAGGGCAAAAAACATACCAAGAAGTCCCTTCTAAAGCCCATTCCCCCTGACAAATATGATGGTGCGCCCGACACCCAACTATTCCACAAGTTCATGACTCAGTCAATGGCATACCTGGAGGATGGTAACGTACCAAAACAACGCCATGTTTATATTCTGTCCAATTTCCTCACAGACAGAGCGTATACATTCTACACGCGCGATGTCTCCCGAGAGCCCAAACGATGGACCACCGCAAAGTTCTTCAAAGCGTTATTCGACGACGTCTTCCCTGTCAACTTCCGTTTGAAACAGCGTGAAAAGTTAGACAAATTCTATCAGAATAATAAAACCATTAAAACCTAAATTGCTGAGTTGGCTGAACTCTTCACGAGCATCGGCTTCTCTGACAAGCGCGAGCGAGTCCACAAATTATGGAAGGGGTTTCGCCGTGATATCCAGAAGGAATTGTGGAGAGAAAAGTTGAACCCCGAGACGTCCTCTTGGAAAAGGGTCGCACGCCACACGGAGATTATTGAACTTTCGAATTCGGTTGGAACGTATGATGCCGCACAACGTAGCCAGAGCTCCAGCATTCGAGGAGATAGAAGAAGACTCCACGATCGCACAAATGGACGACGCCGTAGTCGTGACCGAGACCATTCAGGCGGGCAGCGCTACAGCCGTGATAGGCGTGAAAGATATAATGGTTGGAAGACCAACAATGTTCCAGGGTTTTCTTCGATGCGTAAAAAGTCCCAGGAGCGTTTTGAACGCGGGAAGAGAGACTATAAGGATTTTAGAAAGCCCAAATTGTCTGAAAAGGAAAAAGACGAACTGCGTGCCGCTAATAAGTGTTTCAACTGTAAAGAAGTGGGACATACCGCGCGTACATGCCCTAAAAAGACCAATGTTGCTTCCACGTCAAACTATAGGTCTCCAGGTCTCCAGAACCATAACATTGAGATTACATCCCACGGGATGGGTTATCTGGAAGCATTGGACGCGACGACAGAGAGCAACAATTCACTCGGACTAGGAATGATGGAGTTCGATGGATTTACTTCCGCCGAGGAAGGTTCTGATCGGAGTTGGGGTGTGCCTTCTCCGAGGCAAGGGTCCACGTTGGAATCTGATGATGATCTAAGTTACCTGACACCGGAAGATGTTGACAACCTATTTGACGAGAGTACTGACCTGGATACCGAAGAGGATGTTTCCAACTTTGACCTCACATCAGAGGCCACGGCAGATGACTCTATGCCAGAACTGCAGTCAGTATCTTCGGATAGTGAATGTGATTATGACGACATGCCAGACCTCCAATCGGTATCAGACTCATCAGATGACGAATCTGATGATGACATGCCAGACCTCCAATCGGTGTCAGATTCATTGGATGACGAATCTGATAATGATATGCCAGATCTAGCAGAGGTCTCCGATTCCGAGGACAAATTTGATCCACCGTCAGAGCCTATGTTGGAAACCTTGGAACGCGAGTTGAATAACTTGTACTTTGCAGAAATGACACAAGTAGAGCACTACAATAATGAATTCTATTGTGGATGTCCCATGCAGTGGAGCTCCAAGAGCCCTGCAGTGGACGACGAGACTGAAAACATGCAGTTGAAAGTTCTGAATAGTTGGGAATTTCGACGCCGCACCTGCATTGGTGATGTTCTCGCCGTTACAATCCAACACATTTTGGATGACGAAGGAAGTTTTCCTGGTGATGAATTTTATCCCCCAGAGGACCGAATATCCTGCAAATTTTACTATCGCTTTTCCGTTACGGCCGCTTCGCCAGATACGTTGCTGATCTTGGATGGTGTACAACATACTCGCATTTTGGTGCAGCGTGAGTTCCTCAAAGACTTGAAAGTTTCTGTGTCTTCTTGGTATGCTGCACGTTGCCATGAATATTATGACTTGCCCCGTGTGAGAGGCAGATGGAGGAACAAATTCTTTTTGGGAGATATGTATGCAGTCCCCGCCATGATTGCCTTGAATGACAGTGCCCCATATCCAGGGGAAGATTGCTGGTTCAACCCCGATCAAGATATAGGCGTTGACAGATTCAATTGCTGGGTTGACGAGGATTCCCCAGCAGGCGATTACATTGTTTATGATACTGAAAAGAGGTTTAAAGTACGAGTGCCCCTGGTACTCTTGAGAAATCCATGGTTCAACATTGCAGGCTGGTACATCCGTCAGATAGCCGTGGCATTTGAATATTTAATGACGGAAATGTTTGAGGACCATGACGAGGAGGATTTCCTCGGTCTGCTTTACAGACCACGCCCAGCTCCTGAAGAATCTGAAGTCCTGTATCAAATTAATGATATTGGTGACATGACACGTGCTAGTGAGCGCGCCGAATTACAGGAGGTAGGAGACTACTACGTCGTGACGTCTCTGTTCGGCCAACAAGTTGAGCAGGGAACCTACCCAGCACTGCAACGCAACAGCGCCTCAACACGCGCTCAAGCACGTGTTATCCCTAAGCCTATCGTCATTGTTGTACGTATTAACGGGCATCCTGCCAGGGCCCTGATTGATTCTGGTTCACTTGGCGACTTCATGTCGAGTACGCTTGCCGAGCAGCTCCATGTGGAAAAGGATGAGTTTGCTGCACCTGTAATGGTGCAGCTGGCCATCCAGCGATCACGTTCGAAATCGAACTACAACGCTAAGGTTCAATTTGAGTATCAGAAAATAAATGAAAAAAGAGGGTTTGATGTCATTAACCTCAGCAATTATGACCTGATCCTCGGTACGCCGTGGCTATACCAACACCAGGTCTCAGTTGGACTGTACCCCCTCCATGTTGTGGTTGGCTCAGATGAATCTCTCCCTATGAAGGGACCTGGAGTAACAAAACTATCAATGGGTGCTATGTCGGTATTAGACGACAACTTGCAATGTGCTCGCGCTGATCTTGTTGAATATGCCAGGCCCTTGTGTATAGATGAGGCAAATGCGCCATTGCCGCCTTTGCGTAAAATTAATCACCGAATTCCTATAATTGATCCACACAAGACTTACAAATATCGTCCCTCCCGGTGCCCAGATGCACTAAAACCTCTGTGGAATGCAAAGCGCGATGTGTATTTACGAAGCGGTCACTGGCGCCCGACTACGTCGTTCAATACGACCCCGATGCTGTTTTTGCGGAAACCAGGGAAACCTGGTGAGCCTGTACGATTGCGTTGTGTTAATGACTTACGCGAACGTAATGCCAACACTCACAAAATAATGTCTCCCCTTCCTGATATGGATGGCATTCTGCGGCGCGTGGCTCGAGCGAAATACCGCTCTGTGATCGATTTACAGAACGCGTTCGAGCAGATACGCATCGACCCGCGTGATGTCGAAAACTCGGCTATGGCCACTCCTGATGGCCCAATGTTGAGTGAGGTTCTCCAGCAGGGAGACTGCAACGCACCTGCGACGTTTCAGACAGTAATGAATGATTTGTTCGCACCGTACCTTGGCCGTTTTGTGGACATTTACCTTGACGATGTCATGGTATATTCCAATAACCTAGAAGACCACGTAAAGAATGTGAAATTGGTCATTGACATCTTAAGACAAGAGAAATTTTTTCTTACCGAACGTAAACTGAACTTTCTTTGCGACTCCGTCAAAATTCTTGGACGTGTTGTGGACGATGAGGGCATCCGGATGGACCCAGACAAGGTCGACGCGCTTGTACGTTGGAAGACACCGACGAACCGGGACCTCCTCCGTGGGTTCCTGGGGGCGGCTGGTTTCCTGGCTGACGATATTGATCGTGTCCGGGTCCCTATGGGTGTCCTTCACGCATTGACAGGCGACACAGTTCCTTTTCGTTGGGAATACACTCACCAACGGGCGTTTGAGGACATAAAAAACCTCGCTGTTCTGTGTAAGGATCACCATCGTAAACCTTTGAAGTATGGTGCAGATGTACCACCGGTCAACATAGTCACTGATGGCTGTGGCACAGGGATAGCTGGGGTAGTCAGCCAGGGTGAAGACTGGAAGACAGCCTCCGTCGCGGCGTTCTTCTCTGCCAAGCTGAACCCTGCCCAGCAGAACTACCCTGTGCATGAGATCGAAATGTTAGCTGGGATAGAAACAATGATGCGTCATAGAGACATACTACAAGGCGTGAAGTTCAGATGGTACACAGACCACAAGGGTCTGATACACCTGTTAAACCAACGTGACCTGTCTGGACGTCAAGCGCGTTGGCTGGAGAAGGTGTCTGAATTCGATTTTGAGGTCATATATGTACCTGGTGCTGAGAATATCTTGTCCGACGCCCTCTCCCGGCTGTATTCCAATGATGAGCCTGGAACGGTATGCGCTAGGAGTGAATATACATACCACGATGTTGTCGATAACGACGTCCTAAGCGCGCATGCTATTTCGATGCCTGTCCTTGTTGGAAAGGAGGGCGAGGCAGCAATGCCGACTCGCCGTGTCTGTTCGAAACCAGCTCCCGCAGAGACAGGTCGGCCAGAGACCTCTCGAGAGTTTGCTGCACGCATGAAGGGACATGTTGTCCTGAAAGGCCCAGTAGCAGGAAAGGAGGGCGAAAGCCGGAAGGATGCAGTGGCAGAGAGGTTGACTATCAGAATTCCAGCGCGGAAACAAAATGGATCTAAAAATACGTTGACGGATTCAACAGACCTCGATTCAGATCCAACCAACGAAGATAATGCCACATCAATTGATGGTGTGCCACATGACGCGCCAAGTGATGCCATGACTGCTGAATTGCCTGAGGCTGCATCAACGCCTCAGACGCTTGTCGAACATATGCATGACAGCGTTAGTGGCATTGATCTGCCTAAAGTTTTAGTGGGGAAGTATGGCAAAGATCCCATTTTCCGTCGTGTCTTAGAAAACCCGAGGCATTTTAAGAACTTCGAAGTATCAGAAGGACTGATCTTTTTAAGACAGAACAGGAGCAAACTACTTTGCATCCCTGATGTTCTGATTGACGGCAAAGGGGTCCGTGAGCTTGTCATTTCGGAGGCTCACTCTTTGCTGGCTCACTTGGGCACGCAGAAAACTATTGCATATTTACGCGATCACGTCTGGTGGAAGAGTCTACTAAATGATGTGAAAGCATACTGTGACTCCTGCATAACCTGCAAGCGTAGCAAGCCTTCTAATCAGAAACCTTACGGCTTGTTGAACCCTTTGGGTGTCCCAACGCGGCCTTGGGAGTCTATCGGCATTGATTTCGTTGGTCCATTACCTGAATCAAAAGACCGAGATGCGTCGTATGACTGCATTGTGGTAATAATATGTTTATTGTCTGCAATGGTACACCTTGTCCCAGGTCGCATTAACTATACTGCACGCCAGGTTGCCGAGTTAGTCTTTGCTGAAGTCTATAAACATCATGGCCTACCTTCTTCGATTGTGAGTGATCGTGACGTACTTTTCACGAGTGCATTCTGGAAACAGTTGCATGAGTTAATTGGCACGAGACTTAATATGTCCAGCGCGTACCATCCCGAGTCTGATGGGTCCACAGAACGTGCCAACCGCACTGTGACGCAAATGATAAGACAATGCGTTAGTCCAAACCAGAAGGATTGGTGTGTGAAACTTCCTGGGATTGAGTTTGCCATCAACTCCGCAACAGCAGGCAGTACAGGCTACGCACCATTTTTTCTGAATAACGGTCGAATGCCGCGTTCCTTTATTTGGAATTCAACAGATAGTTCTGAATACCCTGGGGTTAGCACGTTTGCTCAGAAGATCAAGACAGCTGTTATGACGGCTCACGATAGCATCCTTGCTGCTCGGGTCAAGCAGATGCGTACGGCGAATCGTCGCTGTCAATTGTCCCCATTTAAAGAGGGCGACCTGGTCTACATTGCTACAAAGAATATGTCGATTCCTAAGAAACTTGCGCATAAGCTTGTTCCGAAATATGTAGGACCATACCTGATAATCAAGGACTTTGGGAACAACTCTTACAAGATCGAACTTTCGTCTAGGTTGAAGCAGAGGGGAATCCATGATGTCTTCCACGCTTCACTGTTGAGGATTCATGTGCCTAACGACGACAGACTGTTCCCGGGTCGGTCGGACAATCAGATCTGGGAATTTGAAGATGCAGAGCATGAATGGGCTGTCGAACGGATCAAGTCACACGCTGGCATCAAAACTGATGCATTGTTTGAAATTGCTTGGAAATCCGGTGATGTCACTTGGCTCCCTTATCACAAAGTCAACCACCTCGACGCGCTTCAACAATACTTCGATGTGTTGGGCATCGAGTCAGTCGCCGAGTTGCCAGAGGGTAATGGTAAGCCCCCTGCAGATGATGCTCAAATTTTTTTAGGGTTGATCGCGTTGACCGACAGAGTCGGTCAACCTGAGGGGCTATATATCTGTCAAGATTGCGCCCCGTTCTCGCATCCTCAACGTGTTTGCACGAGTTTTTGAGCCATCGCTGGGGGGATGGTGATGGAGGAAGAGGTAGACGGAAATCGGGGTGGAGAACATGCTTCGCGTAAGGGAAGTACGCAAATTGGGAAAGTAGAGGAGGCAGGTGTGAGGGGGATGGGATTGAACGGCTGCTAAAGCGCTAATGGGGTGAAGGACAAGAAGACAGAGATTTTGCGTGAGCTCCATTCAAGCTCTGTTTCAATCAGGGTTCCTGCCCATCGTTTCTCGCTGGAGGGTCAACATTGGGTATAGTTATTGTTTTTTGTCAGCTGCTAGTTATGTAAACTGTCAGATGCAAGTCAGAGAGTAGGAAACTGATCTTCCGAGGTCGCTGCGAGCTCATGTGCTAACTTGGTGCTGACTGTGTCTGGAAATCCAAGTGTGACATTTGACGAGCGATTGCAACGTCACGCATGTTTTCGAATTCTTATCTACTAAGTACTACACTCTGCAGAGCAGCTTGTTAAAAAAAGGTACGATATGACAATACTTGAATAGTGGCAGACAAATGGGAACACTGACGTCTGGCGCCAAGGGCACACCTTAGATCAAAGCCCTGCTGATAGTACAGTCGGACGCCGCACCACTGGCATACCACGGGTATAATCATAATCAAATCATAATCCAATATTATCCAAAGGCAGACCATGTCCTTGTCGGCAACGGTACATACACAACTCGCAATCCGCCCAGGACACAGCGCTAAACGTCATTTAGCAGTGCATGTGTGGGAAGTGAAGCTGGCTATGCGAAGCTGTTCAACTTGACGCCCCATCGGCGCCTACACTCTTTCAACTCGAACTTCAAGGAGCAGGCGCAAACTGGGGACTTCTTGGCTCGAATGGACTCAGGGGACTTACCAGGACAAACGAATGTGGTGAATGATGGGTATGTTTGTCATTATCAACGCCGTGTGGAGCCATTTTCGCTAATTTGGACCGTAAATCTGAAAGGTCGTCGATTCTACAAGGGGCTTCAATGCCCGTTACTATGACCTACCAGCACCTCGGCACACCCTACGAGTCGGCAGTCACTGATTGTCACATATTTTGGCTGGACAAGCGTGACTCTCGTTTTCCAAGTTGTCACGCAACATCACACTTGTCCAGCCAAAATTCGTGACGATCAGTGACCGCCGACTGGTAGGGTGCGCCGAGGTGCTGGTAGGTCATAGTATATCTGGTGGAGACTTCAATAGTGTTGGAGGCGACTATAATCGCATCACTATCAACATTTGTAAGACTTTATCTTCGGGATTACGTCTCTTATTCAAGAACTGGTACTTAGATCAAGGTGTGCGACGGCATGTTGTTATTATAATATATAAAAAAATAAGTGGATGCACAAGGATTGAACTCTAGGCTCAGGAAATGTCACGTGAAGTCAAAGCAGCAATATTTCCACTACACCATACGGCCGTTAAAATTCTACAAACATTTATTCTATATAACCCACCCTCACGCCGACCTTCCTAAACGAGTCACGGCGTTTGCCGACGTCACCATCAGCATCTCTGTTTTGCTGTCAACCACAACCACAACCATAACCACAACCACCACCACCGTCGCCGCGACCAGCGCGGTCACCTCGAATCACGCCCACGCCAGCGGACAACGACGACGACGACGACGACGGACGACGACACGACGACACGACGACGACGAGGCCGGCCACACGACGACGGACGACGACACGTCAACGCACGACGACGACGGACGACGACGACGCGTCACGTCAACACACGACGACGACGCACGACACGTCAGCGACGACGAGGACGACACGTCAACGGACGAGGACGACGGACGACGACGACGACACATCAACGGACGACGACGCCGACGACGACGATGACGACGACGACGGACGAGGACGACGACACGACACGTCGATGGACGACACGTCAGCGACGACGAGACGGCCGCACGTCAACGGACGACGACGAGGACGACGGCGACACGTCAACGGACGACGACGAGCCCCCTCCCTTTTCCCTCCCCCCTTCCTATTCCCTCCTCCATCCTATTCCCTCCCCTTTCCTTTTCCCTCCCCCTTCCTTTGTCCTCCCCCTTCCTTTGTCCTTCCCCTTCCCTGTCCCTCCCCTCCCTCTTCCCTTTCCCTTCCCTTTTCCCTCCCCCTTCCCTTTTCCATCCCCCTTCCCTTGTCAATCCCCTATTTCTTGTGCCCCCCCTCTTCCTTTTCCCTTTTCCCTTCCCCCCTTCCTTTACCCTTTACCCTTCCCCCCTTCCTTTTCCCTTTTCCCTTCCCCCCTTCTTTTTTCCTTTTCCCTTCCCCCCTTCCTTTTCCCTTTTCCCTTCCCCCCTTCCTTTCCCTTTACCCTTTTCCCTTCCCCCCTTCTTTTTCCCTTTTCCCTTCCCCCCTTCT